CACCCAGGTCCGAGTTTGAAGCCCATCTGTGGGACTGGTGTGGGCAAGTTCATCGACACAGAGAGCTTTGTCCTGCACAGCTGTGTTTTCACAGACACCTTTAACTCCTTGGGTTAGCGATATTTATGCCTTCCCTCACCACCAATGTAATGACTTGGTCTTCACACCTGTACAAGTGCCACAGAGCTGCCATTGACGATGATGATGGCTGAAGGGAGCCGCTGTGACAAGGCCTCCAAGCACCTCAGTCACACCCTGCACCCCTGGGACGTGGTGTGGTCGTTCCCGTTTTAACAGTGAGGGTGGCAGAGCTTCCAGGAGCTGAGTTGAGGTCTAAGGCCACACAGGGCAGCAACGACTGAGAGCATTTGGCTGCCTTTCAGACGTTTGCTCTTGCTAAGTGAGCATGGGGACCAGGCAGCTGAATTTGGTGTCTGACAAAGGTTTGTAACAGATTGGGAAGTTCAAGGCCTCACAGCAACTTCCACAGAATGGTTAAGGTTGGAGGGGACTTCTGGAGGTCATCTGGAGCAAAACTTTCCCCCTGCCTTAATGGGAGCTCTGAGCTGCCCTTCTGCTTTCCCCTTGTCCAGGAGACATGGCCAGAGAGTTGCTGACACCTAGCAGTATTTTTTTTCAGCCAGCAAAGGCAATGTGATACAGGGCTGGTGAGCCAAACTGGTGCAACCAGGTGGATCTGGTGGCTTACCTGGAGACCTCTCCCTGGCAGGAGACTGTGGGAGTATGGCTGTAAAATCCACACCTTGCCTTCTGGCATTGAAGGAGGTGGGATGTTCTTGGAGGGGATGGGTAGGCCAAGGGAAACTGCAGGAAAAAGGGTTCTTGGCAGGCAAGGAAAAGATCTGAAAGCATCCACAACCTGCTTTTGAAAGGAGCTGAGGCTCAACTCTGATGAGCTGTGTAGGTGTTTTGCCTCCTTTGAAATGGAGATGCCTTTGAGACATGGACTTGTATCCTTGGACCTGGCCTTAAGGATTTTCATAAATCTGACTGGCCTCCGAAATCATCGAGCTATTTCTGACAACCATCTTGCATCCCATGGTATCTGTTGGGAATAGACTACCACCCTTCTGAAATAAACGAGGTTATTTTTAATGATATTTGACTATAATTTAATTTTTTATCAATGCCTATCAAAATTCACAGCTTTGATAAAAAGTGGTCTGAACTTCGTATGTTTTCATTGGAAAAAGGGAATAGTCATCTTGGTTTTGGCACAGGGAGGCATTTCTAATTCTGTCAGAAAGCAGCCTGAAAAGATATTGAGGTTGCCATTTAAAAAAGAAAAAAGTTCCTTTTTCCAATTTCTAAAATAAATGTGAATCTTCAAATATGCTTTTCTGAAAACCTTGATTTGGGAGTTGTCCTATAACGAGAGCAAGGGCCACAAATCCCCAGCCGTGGATCTTGCATCTTTTTGCTAATGCTGTGAACAATTATGCACGAACAGGATTTTTCTCGTGGGGCAATTTATTTATCCACTGACCTTTCTGGAGAAGGGTCTTTACAAACACGCAAGATTAAGGCTGGCCTTGACAAAGCTGCAGCTGTGTCAGCCAGATAGCTGGCGACAAAGCTTAACCACCCTGCTCATAGGCTAGGCAAGCTGATGGCTGCTTATGGAGACACTGGGGGTGTATGGCTTGCTGTTGTGGCCCCCACCTTGTCATACGATTTGAGGTACACCCCTTGGAAATGGATACTCCCAGTCACTTGTGCTCCATGTTTAGCCCCTTAACTCAACCCAGCACTCCCTTTGTCAGTCCTTCCTTAAGATTTCCTTCCATAGCAAATCCGAAGGAGGGTCTTCAACCCACACTAATTCTGTGCTTCTGTGTTTACCTGCATCCTCCGTTCCCTTCGGGGCCTGATGGCGAACTCCCCAGGAGGGCTGCGGTTGAGGAAACCTGTCAGGGTTGAGTCATGGCACGAATGAACTTCTGCCTGTGTGTGAGAGATGTCTCCATTTCCTTCCAGGTACTTAATGAGAACATGCTGGGGCTTCCCAGCAGCCTGTTTCTAGACAATTTCCTGCTTTTCCCACTCTCAGCTCTAGGTGCAATTCTGAGGAGGGTCTTGTGTCAGTATCCTCATTTTAGGCTTATCTTGTGTGTCTAAGTGTGCCAGCATATCTCACAGCTCCCTCCCCATCCCTCAGAGAAGCCCCAGAGGCCTCTCATTTCCTCAAGGGCCAAAGGAGGAAATTGCACAGACCAGGAGACTTCATTTCCTCCTTGTCTGAGCACAGGGGTCCTGTAGTTGCTCCTCTACCCCTCATTAGACGAGCATTTGATGCCTCTCTGGAGTGCTCCAGCTGTCTGGGCTGGTATCAGGACACCTCCCGGATAACCTCTGTTCCCCATCTCCTCCTTACTCCTCCACTAAGCTCCCACCCAGAATCACCTCAGGAGACAGCATGACCCGCAGCTGGGCCGTTCTGAAGCATTGTCCAAACTTGGCTTAAAACCTGGAAACTCATCCATTTCCATGGTGCTGGGCATGTATGTAGTGTGGAGCAGTTGGCTCTGAGGAGGAATCCAACACCTTGGTTTATCGTGTGGAAAACAATGACAAAAAAGCATGATCCACACATGCCACCACATATAATATGGAGGATGCTTTTCAGGGACACTGGGGATCAGGTAACACATCAGAGGAAGGGGTAAACAGGTAAACAGGTCTTTATTTAGCAGGCAGTGTTTTGCAAGTGATGCCAAATCTACCCTGTGATAAAGTGACAGACAGCCGAGCCTGGGGATGGCCCTAGTGTTGCTGTAGATCAATGTGGTGTGAGTAGAAGCAGTGAAGTGCTAATACTAAATCCATGCTGTTCCTCTGCCCTGTTTCTCATGAGGTTTTTCCTAATTGTTTTTGCACCTCTGTCCTGAGCTTCTGCAAAAGGTCTTGTGAGAGTTCACTGCAAAAAGACCAGAAAGTGATTAACCCTGCTGGAGGGCTAGCTCCTTCTTAAAGGGCACGTGAAAAGATGGGTGACCATCACCCATCATCAAAGACAGTGGCAGCAGAGCGCCTCAGATAAGACATCAGGTAGGACTGATCCCCACATCTCGTTGTCTTATCCCAAGATAATAAAGTGGGGCTGCTTGTACCTCACTTGTCAGCAGGGTGGACAGGACTTTGCTGAGGAGCTTATCCTCCATGTGTTTTCCCAGGTGGGAGAATCCCTTCCTTTCTACCACTCAGGCCTTGGAGGACACTGAGGACAGTTGCCTTTCATCCCACTATGGAAAATGGAGAAGACAATTGTTTTGCAGACAGTGCATGCAGCAGAAAATGAATGGACAAAACGGTCCTAAATTGGACAGAACGGCACTGTTGATATCTATAGAAATTTTAAAAATATCGTATTTAACAAAATTTGCTCCCTCTTAAGCATTTGGTTTTAAAAGTTGCTGAATTGTAACACTGTGCCTGTTCCATTCAGCCACTTCCCTGCTGCACACACTGCCTGGGGGATTTTGACCATTCCCTCTTTAGATCTGTGGCAAAAATCTTTAGTGAACAGCATGAAGCCGTATGCCTTTATAATGAGCAAAGATTTTTTTTAAAATTTATTTTTTATTAAATGAAACTAGAGGATGGATGACTAGCCATTGCAAAGTAAAGAAATCCAGGCAAAATGACTAGAGGCCCTTCAGAGTGAGCACTAGCCCCAAGGAGCACTTCACCCTTGGAGAGTTTGAACCAACAGGCAGAATCTGTTTCGGGTAATTGGAGAGGGGAGGTAAGGGCTGGACAATTGAAATGTCTTGTTTTCACAGACCTTGTGCGAAGTCACTTAAAATCAGAGTCATATGCAGAATGGTTGAGGTGGGAAGGGACCCTCTGGTCCGACCCCTGCTCAAGCAGGGCACCTGGAGCAGGCTGCCTGGGACAGAGTCCAAAATTTATTTCATTTTTGAGTGAAGTCTCAAACACCAGTACCCCAAACCTCCAAGCATCCGGCCCCAAGACGCAGTACTGCTGATGTTCAGCCTTCACAACAATCACACCGTGATCCTCCGGAGAAAAAATAAATGCACAAAGACACCTGCCACGTTCTTTTGTCTTTTTTTTTTTTTTTTTAATTATTCCTTCATATTCAAACTTCACAAACAGTGTGAACTTGTACAATACCTCAGAAAGTGAAACTTACAAAAAAAGTGCTGGTAACATTAAAAAAAAAAACAAAAAACAAACATCATTCTTAGCAACATCAATTACTCTTCCACACAAAACAGAAACCTTGTAAAATTTATTTCCGTATTTTTTTAAGGCGTAATACTTCCGTATAAAGTATATGCAAGAGATAAAACTTCACAGTATTCCAAAATGTCACAATAATAATAATAATAATATAGTATAATGAAGCGCTACAGTTAATTTTCTTTTTTTATTTTTTTTCCTGTTTTAAATAACAAATACAAGTCACAGGTAAATATACGTGAGAAAAATACGAGGCTAATATTAAATGGCAGGTAAGGATACTCTCACTGTAAGAAAAAACTGGCAGGATGTGTGTATTTATTCTATATTTTAAAGCACTTGATAGAAAAGGCGTATGCAAGGTATTTTTTTTTTTAAACGATTTTCTATTTGCTTGTTTTTGATAACTGACATACCATTTACAGAGTATAATGAGAGAAAAAAAAGGAACTTAACCCCTCAAAACTGTTGACCTGCTCTTCACATCGTCACAAACCATGTATCTCGAGAGATGTCTGTATAGCGGTGCGCGTGCGTGGGTGTGCGGACGGGCGGGCGTGCAACAACGCAAGCGACCGCGGCAGCACGCGGCGATCCGGGCACAGACCCGGCTCCTCCTGGAGCTCTCCGGGGATGGATCCGTGGGTCTCTATTCGGGCAAGGCCATCGTGTAAAGACCCCGGGATTCAGCCCTGGGTGCCGTTTCCCATTCGCTTGGCTCTGGCTGCTGGGAGTTTCTTTGTCCCCAGGAGGAAAGCGCCCCATTTTGTTGCACACACACATGAGTGTGTGTTTTTTTTTTTTTTTTTTTTTTTTTTTTTTCCCCTCTTCCCTTTCTGTGAAACCAAGAAATTTCCTCCTGGGTCCCAGCCGATGCCACGGGAATGGGAAGGTGCCCTCGCCCCCGCACGCTTGCGTGTAGGTGCTGACAGCCAGCCGCTCAGCCAACGGGCAACAAAAAGACAGCAGATAGCATTAACACATCAGTAAGGTGCTCAAAGAAAAAAAGGTGGCTCCCACTCCTGGAATGGGAAGCCACGTAAGGTGCTTCAAAAAGTTTTTCTTTTTTTTTTTTTTTTCTTTTTTTTTCTTTTTTTTTTTTCTCAGTTTCAGACATTTTAAAAAAAGGACTGATTGAGCATGTGGTACGTGAGAGCAAGGCCGAGAGTTTTGAGACTTCTGACATCCTCCATAAACAAGAGCTTCCTCAGGGCAGGACGCATTTCATTTCGTTTGCTTTTTTTTTCTTTTGCGGGTGGATCAGTTTAGATGCAATTTATATTTTTTTTCCATATCAAACAAAACAAAAAACCATAACAAAACAACCCAATGTGAGAATTAGTGTAAAAGTCAAACCGCGTTATTGGGCTGAGTTTTTGTTTTTGTTTTTGTTGGTTTTGCCCATTCACTCAGTTAGCACCGTTCCTTTTTATTCCGGTTACAACCCAATTCCTTCTGTAATTATTGAACATACAGAAAGGACCAAGTAGTTGCTTTTATTTTTTGTGATCTGTTTCAAGAGCCCAACCGTTAATTCCTCTGCTGCTGCTGTGTTTGTGTAGCATCTGGTTTCATGAGCTTAAGGAGAAAGGTTAGTCTGCTGATATTTAAGGTTGACGTGTGTGTTCGTATGCATACACATTGTTCTATACATACACACTGCATGGAGTACATTTTAACTGGAGATAAAGTGAACTGGGTTCAAACACATATGCACTAGCTTCCCCTATGTATTTGAAACAGTCTGGAGCTTTGATTTGATTTTTTTTTTTTTTTTTTTAAAGTGCATTTAAAGCAAAACAACTGGCATTCACATACCCCGTGGAAAACACTGTAGCGGTGGAAAGCTTGACTATGCTAAACTCCTTGGACTCAACAACGCCAAAAGCAAATGGGGCAGTGACAGGCCTCAGTGTAGGCAGCTATTCTTGGGCAGCACCATTGGCAAGGAGGGAAGGCAGGAGGTGGTGGAAGGGAAATTGCTTTAGAGCTTGAATATTTGAGCGGTTTTCAGTTCTGACGTAGCTGTGTCATTCCCAGTACAGCTCCCATGACAATGATTACTGACCTCTGTTGTATGCGTCTGACTCTCCCTAGTTCTGGCTTTCATCGGTACTTTCGTGTGTGTGTCCCCCAAGTGCCAGCATCTATTAGGAATAAGGCACTGTTGAATTTACAGTTTTACAAAAGATGCAAAATAATCCAACCCTAACAATCCCAACTGCCTGCACTGCTCTCCTCCCTCTCTCTCCTATTTATTTTTTTTATTTTCGGAAATATTGCATGCGATGTAGTGTATATAGTGTCAAAATTAGGCCTTGGACAAATGTCTTAAGTCCACCATCAGCACCAAAGGTTGCTAGGAATGCGCCCTTCCTCTGCACCATTAAGTGCGCACCATTAATGGGGAGTGGAAATAAACCCATCGTTCCCCAGCTGCTCCTCCCTGTCTCTAGAACCTAACCTACAGAATAGATTTCCAGTCCCCATCCACAGCATTTTCATTTATTATCTCCTTATGGAAGTGCCAAGGGGACTTTTTGTTCCCACCACCCAGGCGTGCACAGATCTTATGTCCTGTGCACTGCAGGCTGCTTCTCCAGTATGCCAAAGCGCTATTTTCTCTCCATGGTTTTGACCCGGGAATAAGCCATGTTCCGGTAATTGGGTGGGGTTTATTGGCCCTAAAAATACCACAGTCAGCCCATCGTAATATGCATTTGCTGTGGCAGCTGGCATATCCTTCTCCTGCTAAGACACTGAAAATGAGCCGTCAACTACTTTCCCTGAGCCAGGATCCCACTGGCTCCTCTCACCTTTTACCAAACTCTAGGGCTGCCTCGTAAAGCAGAGAATACAGAGAAAGTAAGAAAAGCAAGCAGACAGTAGGGATTATAGCAAAGAAAGCACGAGACCAGACGGTCTAGCATTTAAGTGCTCGGCTGGTCAGTTTAGCCACCATCCTTAGAATGGACTGAGATTTAAGGAGTCTGAACTGGTAGGGACTGGGTTTTTAGAAGTGACACAAACCTTGGGCAGGAATTGAGTTGCCTTTTTTTTTTTTTTTTCTTTTAGTGGTTGAAAAGTCATCTCGATAAGGCCACAAACTGCTTGCAAATGACATGAATTCCAGCAGAGTGCTTCGCTCAGCCGGGATAGGAATCGGAGAGGAAAGCCATCCCATGCCCACTGGGACTGATGGTAGGAGAGAGGGCCCTCTGAGGAGGTGGTGGCGGAGGGTGTCTCCTTGGGAAGACCTGCTACGTGTGGGAAGGGGAAGGAGCTGACAGCTCTCTCCACTCCCCTTCCCCTCGCCACCACCTCAGTGTTTTGCCGGACGCCTGTAGACAAGTAGCACTCCTAAGCAGCCTCCTCCTGCCTCTCTCGCACGTCTAAGTTGGGGAAGGGGAGGAGGTCGGTATACTTACAAAAGGGGAAAAAGAAGGCACATGATTTTACTCAGTCCTGACTGAACCCACATTTCGAAAGCAAGGGCAGTTTAGGTGGAGGGCAAAAGAAGTGCTCAGCAGAGCGGATGCTCACTGAGAAGAAATCTCAGGAAGAGGGAGAATAAAAAGGAAAGGCAGGAGAAATGAAGGCCACATTCAGCTTTCTGTCTGCTTGACAGTCTCAAGATTTGGCTGCATTATTGTCCAGGAAGGAAAAGAGTCTGGTTGGTCTAGTATGTCGCCCAGTTACATATCTCCAGTTTTTGTTATGGCTGTTGGTGTCTTCCCCTTTCCCTTTTCTCTGGTCCCACGAATGCCTGAAGCATTGCTTCTCCAATCGTTCCTAAGCTTGTTCCTCGAAACTGAGAGCACCACACACCTCTTTGGTCACCTCCAGTCTCTACTTCTCCCCAGATCAACAGCCGGCGATCGCACTGAGCAGTGCTCCCCGCTGTTCGCGCCCACTGGTGGGGTGCCAGAAGAGCTCGCTTGGCACGTGAAAAGGCAGAACCACCCTCAGGGTTTTGGTTGGGTTGGTGAGGCTGTCCCAAAAGCCTCTGGCCTGATATGATGGGCATGCCAGGGGAGCATTTGGCTGAGAAGCTGGGATGTCATTTACAGAGGTCCTTATGAGCATCGCGGCTCTCAGCCACTTGTCCCCTTGCACGCTGCCACGTCTACGTACCACAGGTTTTCCTTCTCCACCAGTGGGTGCAAGCCCTTTGTGTTCCTGTGGTAGATGGGAGAAGTAGAGCTGACAGAGCGGGTTTGGGATTCCAAAACACCGTTTTGTGTTTTTCCCCCAAGTTTCTGCCTCAAAAATGCATTCAGTTTCTCTTTTACTTCTCCCCCTCCCACTTTTCCCCCCAGATTTGCTCAGGAAATCGTGAGATAGAGTAATGAGAAGTAGGATCACCAACAGCTCTATGAAGACACAGGGTGGTAAAATGCTTCCACACAAACTCACAGTCCAGTGTTTGTGACATTTCATAAATAACTTTTTTTTTTAAAAAAAAAGAATAACACAAGAACAATCCCTTTACTTACTCATCTGAAACAAAATAAACAGCAGTGGCTACAAACTTCTTCTTGTAACAATTACAAAAAAACTCCCAACAATACAATCCCCCAACTTTTAACACGCGCCTTGAATGGTTTTTTTATTTTTTATTTTAAACCTCAAAACTGCAGCATATCCTTAAGGGCAAACTTTTCAATTAGTTTTTTCTTTCTTTTCTTTTTTTTTTTTTTTTTTTAAATAATGTGTTCACCAAAAAGAAAAAAAATTCCACAAAACAGTCTTGTACCAAGAAAATGCATTCAAAAATAGAAAATACTACACAACAAAAATATGTACCCTTCCTTTCCAAAAGAGTCTTCACAAAAATGTAGAAAAATGCCAACCATTTTTTTCCTTTCCTGAACACTTAACTTTCAACCTAGGGCACAATTATTTATTGACTTATAATGTCTGTTTTTGCATAAAATATGGAAGATACAAACCAACTATCAGGACTGTGAAGTTACAAACAACACCACATTATTCTCCCCACCCCACATTCCCTCCTTAGAAAACAAAACAGCGAAAGCCAATGTTTCAACAACTGATTGAAAGCCGTCAGGCTAGGAAAAACCATCAGCTGATATGGGAATTCGAAGATGCTGGCATAACAGGAAAATCATCTGCCTTTTAAAAGGCGTGCTCTTTGCATTCGTCTCAACACGCGCATCTGTCCCGCTGTACTCAGGTGAGCAGGCACTAGGGGGGCAGGACACTGCCGAGCACAGAAAGAGACGGGAAGGATTTGGGGCAAAGAGCCTCCAGATTTTTTTTTTTTTTTAATTAATTTATTTATTTTTTGTGTGTGTTTGTGTGTCTGTGGCGTTTTACTCGCAAAAGAACCGTAGCCATTTTGAAAGACAGAGAGGATGTTTCCATATGCCTTAAAAGTGCAAGGGCCATTTCTGGGTTATAGTAGTTAAATACGCAGAAGTTTTACTACGCTTAATAGTCAAGTCCATTTTCTGGCAAAGGCAGGCTCTTCAACCAGAGTTAGATCGGATCAGTTCGCGGCTGGGAGTGGGTAACAGCTGAAAGCTGGTAGGCAAAAGGCGTCATGCAAAGGTGCATCCAGAACTGATTTATTCAGTGGGGAAGTGTTTTGCCTACCTCGAACACCGTTCAATGGGTATTATGCGATTAACACAGCCAAAAGACCAGCCGTTTCCACATCAATAAAATCTAGCAGTGGGGACTTAGGTACTACAGGGAAGGCAGCTGTATCTTGCATGCATGTGGCTAAATCCATCCTTTGTGTACCTCTTTTGACTTCACTGCAATTACATCTGCTTGCACCAGGGATGAATTTTGCCCCATGTGGTTCTGGATTTTATGACTGTTGGCCATTTAGGAGCCCAGCCCTGCAAAACACTGTGCTTAAATACACCAGGTAGCAGAGCTGGGATCAAAGAGGCTTCTCTCTTCCTTTGTTTGAGATTGATTGTTTTCTTTCTAGCATATCTGATAGAAGATGCTTCCACAATAGGGAAGAAGAGAGGAGCTTTTTCTTAGCCTTTTCCACTGCGTAGCTGTGTGTTTTCCATTATTTATTTTTTTTTAAATGACAAAATGTGTTTGTGTTTACTTCCAGTGCATTTTTTTTTCAAAAATTCAAAACAAAAAGGAAACATTATTTATCCCATCCTTCAAAAGGAAAACAAAAACAAAACAGATTGATAAAGTACAATACAATAAAATCAGGCATTATAAAAGACAACATGATGTGCAACAGCAATACCAAAGAAACAAAAATAAAATATATATATATATTAGGATACAAGTACGAATGAGCCAAGAAAGCTATCTAACCCCACTACCGGATGATTGGTAAGCATTGGTTAAGAAATAGGTAAGGCTATTCTGAGATTTCTAACTTAACACAGTTAACCACTGCTTCTCTTACACCTTTGCTTCCTAAATTTTTCACCTTTCACTCACTGGTCTTTTACGTCTTGAAACTGATTTTTTTCCTTTTCATATTTTTTGGTCTACAGTAGAATTACATGTTAATAATAACAGCAAAACAACACCCAAGCTCATTGTGAGAGTAAGTTGGTGCCACATCCATGATGCAGAAGAGAGAAAACAGACAACAGAACAACTGCAATCAGTTTTTCACACACAAAGCATATTCGAGGGCAACAGCATGGTTGATCAAAACAAGTTTTGGGGGGCAAGCAGCAGAAGCTGTAGGCCTGGAACTACACCAGCAACCAGAGCCCAGCCTCTTGCCTTTACGGGTGTCCTGAGGGACAACAGTAGCTCAATTTGCCATGCGGCTTTGCCATTCTTGTCACCTGGAGCAACAGCTGAACGGCCACCTACTCACCACTAATTGCACTCCTGGTTTGATGGAAAACCAAAAGGAAAAGGAAAGGTAAAAGGCTCCTAGCTGGGGCCAAGGCTATGTCTTGGTCACCTTGGTTGATTTGGCAAACCACCAGCCAGTGTGAAATTGGGATCAACCAGGGAGGGCGCCTGGCTGGCAGGCCATTTGGAAGTAGTCTAGAAGCAAATTCAGACTGCCTAAGGTGATGTGACAGATTGCTTAGCCTTCTCCATCAGGGAAACCGTGATGAACTCTAACAGGGTAGTCTGGGATCATTCTGCTAGCATAAATTCTCTAAGTTCAGCAGGGATGAGAAAGCATACATTCTCTATTGCTACAGAATTGCCTTTGTAAATGTCAGCATCACCAGCCACCAGAAATGTGTTCCCTACAGACACAGCCATAGCACTGCGACTGAAGCTCCATCACGGTTCCTGGCATCTCCTTTTTTTTTTTTTTCTTTTTTTTCCACTGGAACTTCTGAAACAACATTCTCTTCAAGGGTATGCTATACAGTTACGGTAGAGTTGAAAACATCACTAGCATCTTATTGAACTATAACTACGCCACACAATCCCAGCAAATACTCAAGCTGATCCTCAGTAGTGCTTGTCAACGTCTAGGAAAGGAACATACAGAAGAAGATGATCAAACAGTAAAGGGAAGTTCTGGTTTGGATCTAGCCCACTGGCCAAAGTGATTTTCATTCAAGAGAAAAGGTGCAACAACGAAGCAGGATGACAAATGGAGGAGAATTATGGAAGTTAGTGTTTCTCCATCTGGAGAAAAAAAATAGGGCATTAAGTTATGCGGCATCTCTAATCAGCAACATATGTTTTGGCTTCTTAAAATAAACCTCAAGTTATCCTTGGTTTCTCAGTCAAGCACTGTCTACACGGGGCTTTAGTACCATGCTGAAAAAATTGAGTTTGTGCTATATTTAAATGCAGTTCCAGTCAAACTAGTTTCAAACTGACCATGTAAAAAGGAACAACCTATTTAAGAGCCATTTAAAACTCTACAATCGCACTTACGTCCAGGAACTGATCTGGTTGAGCACTGTAACCGAGCGGGAACAAAGGCTGGAATGTGGCTTTCTGAAATGGTTTGGTTCTTCTCTACATGGACTAGACCGCTTGTGTTGAAACTCAGTCAGCTGGAATCAGGTTTAAACAGGCAGAATTCAAACCCCATTTGGGAGCATGGCTCAAAGCCCTCTTCTCCAGGTTGCAGTACTTTTTTTTAAAAAAAAACAAAACTAGTGCAAATGGCATCTTATCACAGCATTGCAAGCATGCAGTGTTCCTCTCCTTGTCCAAACACGGCTGACAGCGGGTCACACCACAAGGGAGGAATATGCAGCAATCAGTCAGCCAGAACAGCTCAAACTACAGAAGTTCTTTATTTCACCACAGCAGGAAAGGCACTCTGGACACAGCAGGCTCAGTAAACCCTCAGCTTCACTTTTTTTTCTGGAGCAGTCCACTACTCCTCTTTGACAACGCAAATCTACTCGGACAGTAGCAATATATGCAGCTGCCTTAAACGACAAAACAAAACAAAACTCACCTAAACAAAAATGGGGACTATTGGCTCATAACCCAAATTAACTTCAGTAGACAGACTTGATTTCCTCCCTTATCATGACTTCGTAGCCGTCACTACTCTTACAGAAGCAAATGCCACTTAAACTAAATGTGCTCTCCTGCCACTGTGTTATGCTGGCTCTCAAACGAACTGTGCTTTTGTCGGGCATCCGCTGCCTCGTTACTGGAAGATGGTCTTCCAGTGGTATTCATCTTACAGGAGTCCTGCAGATGGCTGAGAAAGAGACAGCCCTGCCTGCTCTCACGGGAAGAGTCATTCAGTAGTTCACCTAACACTACCTCAGGGGGACATCTCCAGTTCTTCTCTTCCAGTACTTCCAAGCCACGATGGATGAAATCCAACTAAGAGTGGAAATCTCAGTTTCCCAGACAAGCATATCCTTATCTCCAAAGTCTCTTTTGGTTCCAGACAGACTTGCTCCTTCTCACCCAGGACCCGCATCTGATATATTACTTCTCCTCTAGTTGTTGATACTTTCCTCAAACGAGGCAGTCCAACAGACCAACCAACAAAACCAGCTCTGTGTAAGGTCTGTACCGCTGCCCATTCCTTGGTACTAATGGAGCCAAAAGGTCTTAGCTTCAGGCCTAAGGAGAAATTCAGGGTGTGAATAGGCCTGTGAATACCCGATTACTGTAGGCTTTCCTTAGGAATTGGATGCCTGTCTCCCCTCTTTTGCTCATGAAACCTCCGTGCACATCAGACAGGTGGTCCCTATACTGCAGAACCAAAGCAGATGCTCTCCTGTGTTACACTCTTCTCCTGGCTGCTACACAGAGCATTTTTCATGATTCTAATCTGCCTTCTGGCAGAAGTTGTAACCATAGTCTTACTGAAGAGATTCAATGCAAAATTTTGATAGTTTGTAGACCACAAAGAGCTACAGCAGAGATGGACCTTGCTGCAAATTAGTGTTGTTGTTTTGTTTTGTTTTTTTCCTCATATTATGCTTGTTACGAAGTCAATGATCAAGGTATAGGCCAACATGCATCATGACTGTAAAATACTTTCCAGCTTAGGATTCTGTTTGGTTCCAGCCAAAAGCCTTGGTAATGCTTGACTATCTGTTTGAGGAGAGAAATCAGACTGAAGATCTAAAAATGCCGGAGAGCATCTTAGCCCAAGCAGGAATATTCCTTACTGTACTGAATTCCACATCGCCCTTCCTTGTCCACATCCCTCCTGCTCCCTCTGCCCCCAAAGGCTTGAATGGAACATCTTCAATCGAGTGTTCAGAATGACTGTTTATTGCACCATCCCCATTACAGCCTTTGAAAGAAGTGCTTTATTTATTTATTTATTTATTTTCAGTGACCTTCCCCTTTGGTAAGCCTGCTTTGTGGCTTCACTTCTTGAGCTGAGAGATCATGCTTACACCCAAGGGATACTGATTACAGTCAAACATCTCTGAGGAGATCCGATCTGACAAGGCAGGTTTTGAGCAGATTTTGAACTAGGAACTGGTGTCTTCATGTTGAAGCCTGACTCTGGTTTTGTGCTAAGCAGTTCTCTTAACGCTCTCACAGCCGCAAAGAGCACTCTCTAGGAAAACGGGGGAAAAGATCTGTAGCACCCTGAAACCTGTGATGCCTCTTCTGTTTCCATGATAGTGCTTTTGTTACTTTATTATTATTATTATTATTTTACAGAAGCTATCCAATACAGCTATCTCAGTGTCTGACTAGTTGCTTAAAGTAAAGGTAACCTCAGTTCTCTTCCAACCTGGTCAAGTTTAAGATACATCCTGTTTTCTGTGCCCATCCCTTTCTCTTCTCCCTTCCTGCTTAATTGGCCCCTTCCAATCCCACCACATGTAAATACATTTCAGTAGTGCAATGCAGTGCAGTGCAGTCATACTTAGTGCAAAAATAAAAAGCCTTATCCAGACCAAAAAAGCACAAACTCCCTCCCCACCCCACCCAATCCCCAAGAAATCAGCTCTCAGTAAAAGTACACGAATGCCCCAAAAACAAAGGGGGATTTGCAGTCTCCCAGCCACACTTTCACATGCCTTATTTTCTCTCCTCCTCCTGCTCAATGTAGATGATCTTGTTAGTAGACAGGACATTTATTGAAAACATAATAAGCTGAACAACTGGAAATGGAAAGGAGACAAGTCATTGTCTGGGGGCTGCAGAAAGAAGAGAGAACTAAATGGATACAGCAAAAAGGTCAGTAGTGGTTTTACACAAACTTGTCAGATGCAAACTTTGCAAGGGTACGCCTTGCAAAGGGCATGTGTAAGTGTGGATAAAAAACCTAAAAAGCTTCCCTGTTCCCAATATACAGTCCTTATTTTAACAGTGCCCAAGCTAAGGTTCTGTAGTGCAATCAACTCTTCAACGTGGCAGCTCTCTGTGGCCACCCTAGAACAAATGGACAGATCGACACTAACTTCAGTTTTCTCCCTCTCACGTAGAGACACACGTGCGTGGACAGCTCCTTCCCTCACCCTTCAAATACACAAGCAATATATATAAAGGATTTTTTTTTTCATAGCCCTTCTAGGACTATGGTGGGAAAAGCAGGAATTTTAATGACAGGCATATAAGCTCTTACGTACCTAAATATGAAAACACACAAGACAAACAAAATAAAGCTCACTAGTAACAAAGGCAAGTCGGTTACTGAATCCCAATCAGCCCATACCTCCCCATGTCAATTGATCCGTTTTAACAAAATAAAACGTCTGCCGGGGCTTGCTACTCATTAAGATATCACTTGGGAAAACGCAATAAAGACCTTGGGATACTCACTGGTTTGGAGATTAAGTTCAGTCTGGACAGCCACAAGAGCTTCCATCTAACCATCATAACAACGAGAAAGGACTGTGGGGAACCACTAAAATTGTGTAAGAGGCCACAACAGGGAAGGAGGAGCAAGAAGGGGAAATGTATAGAAAGAGGAACACATTAGGGCAATTCCACTGCTGCTGTATGAACCTCTCTGCAATTGTTTGGTACATAGAGTACATTGCATGATGCTTCATCTAGGCTTAGGAACGTGCTTCCTCATGCCTCTTTTCTCCTATTCCCGATCCTTTGTTGAAGACTGCAGCCAACCAAGAATGTAAACAAAAGCAAATACCAACAAATAAACCAAAGAACATATGAGAAACAGGTTCCTCCTTTTTCTTTGTCTTGCAAAGGTAGGAGAACTGTGCCCTCGACTCCAGACACACAGATACACTCTGTTTCATTCTAGTGCAGAAAAGATTAACGGGCTTTCAAATGCACAGAAATAAGGAAAGAGCCTAAGAGAAGGAATCTAAACAAGGGTGCAGGGACCCTGAATATCCACCTCCAAAGCAGAAAAATGCCATAAAAAATAGAGACTGTAATCGAATTGCTAGGCATGGCAAGGGGCCAGCATCTAAACACACTCTGTCTGGGTGCATAGCTACAGCAGTGTGTCCCGTGTCAAAGCATACACGAGACACAAAACTGATAAAGCTTTCTAGCTTTTCTGTAAAGTCTGTGAATATCAATTTTGCCTCTCTAATCATCAGCAATGAGTTTTCTTGCTGTTCAGCTGGCTGTATTTTGAGGGTGCCCAATCTGCTTGCTGAAATGCTAGGCTCATGCCAGACTATGTGGGTTCCAATCCATTCTCCTGCACATACGATGCAATAGCATGGTTTTTAAAAAATGTCTAAAGAAAAGCTTGATGTATACTCTGCATTTGGGGTTATATAGTCAGATGTTACAAAGAAGCAACTTTATTTTACCCACAGAATTACAGAAAAGGTATGGCTAGAGAGCTTCTGGGTAAAGTAGTCAGAAACCTTGAATCAATTAACTCCAAATATCACTGCTGCAATGACAGTGGGTCATAGCTGTCACTTACTCCCCAAATGTTTTACACTGTTCTGGTAATAGAAAAGTGATGTAGCAAGGCTGTAAATTAGGGTGTAAATTGCCATGTTTCATATACATATACACCAGCTGTTGTGGCTCACTACTTAATTACTGAAGACAAACATGCTACTATTTACCTCTCTCTGGACAAAAAGAGTCCCAAAAAAGATGTCTTGTTCAATGGGAAGCAGCCTTCTGAATTTTGAAGCCTCCCAGCAAAAAGGAGAGACCATTTAATCACAGAGCCCTTAACACAGGTAAAATCTGTCCAGTGGAATGAAATCAAATCTTAGGTCAGTTTTATGAAGGATAAAAATTTTGGGCAGAAAAATGCTAAATTAGTGGGAGCAATCCTGTGACATCTTAATGGATGTATACGAAACTAGCTCTTAGGACTATGACTTTCTGTAGGACTACATATGCTTTCCATGTCTGAGAAGATGCACTGAAGTCAACAAAAGATTACGAGTCACGCCTGGAGAATTTAGCCCAGTGAGTATTGGTCCGATCAGTTTTCAGGATTAAGCATAGACCTCACTGGTGCTGACAAGAAAGGTTACGCAGTACATCCTTCCTGAGCTGAGCAGCCTATTTATCTTATGTTTGGCAACAAAAGCTGATTATGGGTGGAACTTAGGGGAAACCACCAATTTTCTGCCTCATTTCCTTGTAAGAATTTCTTTGAATCTGAACTTTGGAGCAAAGATCCAGGGGACTGAATGCTCAGCGTATGTGGAACTGGGAATATATCAAAGATTTAAAAGATTCATAAGAATTTCACAGCAGTCTGACCTACATCCTGTCATTAGGACAAAGGAAACAGGGCACCCCAAAAGACAATGAAACTTGTTGAAGATGCTTGCAAACAAGTTTAGTTCTGACTCCAATAACTGAAAGAGTGACATCTCTTCCCTCAATAAATAGGAACTATACCTTTTTAAAAACTAAAGATAGTCATACATGAAAAAGAAAGAGCAGCAGCAGATGCTGAAGATTCAGTCTTTTCCTCTAAGTGGTGTGGGTGATGAGCAAGTCTCTTGTATGGAGTTCAAACACTCCTCTTTCCTGGGAGCCCCCCAGTCTTTGGTGCAAGCACCCCCGAGGTGGGGGGACTCTCCTCTTGTTCAACCTTGCAGTGAAGAGCTTTAAAATCCCTTTCTGTCCCTGCACAGTAGCACAGAGCAACGTTCTCTTAGTACAAGGTTCTCCCTCTCGTGGTGACAGTGTTACCTACTTCAAAATGTTGTGTTCCTCAAAAGCTGTACAAAACAGAAAAGAAGTGCAAAAGGGAGCTGAATACAAATGCTGTCAGCTACAGAAACATGAGACCATGGCTTGCATTAGCCCAGAAGGTCTGCTCGGTCAACGAGGAGATGGAAAACAAAAGAAATAATGAAAACCATATACTAGAATAAAGCTAATACTTGGACAGGGGCTTCCCTTGATGTTTATATCATTCAAGGAAAGTCTCCAATGCAAGATTGTATAAAACTGCAAAGCCAGTATCACTTTCTGTTTTCTGTCTCATCAGAAAAGCAGAAGATATGCACATATGAAATCAGTTTCTTAGAAAACACAATTCTCAAGACTAGTGTTTCTTCAGAGAATGAAAAAGAAAGGATACATGTTCAAAAAAGCAAGATTTCTGGATTCACAAATGACTGACTGTCCTTTATGTTAAAGATATGTTAAAATAGTGTTCACCAGCCGATTATTTTGTTAGTTTCACTTTCCCTTAGGCAATTGTATGTGTACACACTGCATTCTAAAAGTACAATCTCTAGTGTGGATAATCTACCTGTTTGGTACCATCCTGTTTGTAAAACCACTTCTTAGCCTAAAAATATAAACTGTAAACTGTATAAGATGCAAAATGAACTGAGGTGCTTAAAAAAAGCATTAGGAAAAATAAAAGGCAACAAGGAAGTTAAATCAAGAAACATATTAACTAGTAATTATCCTAAATGAATTACTGAACCTTACAAAGGATTAGCAGGGGAAGCGTGGAATGGGTATGCAGCCACTTAAATGAGCAGGCATTCTCAGTGATGTGAGAACACTCTCTACTAAAATATGTATGATTTAGCACTCAAAGGAAAAGGCAAAGACCATGGTCAGAAATCGTGGACCACTGAATCAGCACTCTGTTGCAGCAGCTAACTGGAATTAATTTGGGAAATGGCACCTTTTTGGCTTAAAGGGTCAAACATCATCCTTTATGTAATAGGGCAAAGTAGTAGTCTCTTCCTTCCCTCAGAAATGGATATACAGAGAATAAAGACAAGCCAGACTTAGAAATCACTGCTGGAAGACCGTGACTTTTAAACTGCAAGTAGAAAGAAAAAAGGATGTGGTAGTGGCCTCCACATAAGTGCAAATGGCAGATGGTAGGAGTCTGTAAGAAATGCCAGCACTTGATGATTCCTATGCTTGAAGTTCTCATCTTATTATCCCAAGAGGTGGAATAGTTAACTCTTTCCCTCTCTTCCCACTCCAAAATCACTTTTAAGTTTACTGATTTTCAGTGATACGGATTTTCTCATTCTCAATGTTTGTAATTGATGTGACCATCTCTTATTTCTTCCAGTCTTTACAGTTAGAAGAAATGAGATACAATGAATACCTCCTCCACAACCCTCATCCACTTGATCTTGCACGTTGTCAGTTAGGAGTGATATGTTATTGACCAAAGGAATGAAGGTCAGCTGAGATGTACCTGAATCAGAAAAGCAACCATACTTGTACAAAGTTTTGATGTGGACTCACTGCACGGGCAATCTGTTACAAGATGAGATTTCAGAAAGAACACCCCAAGGTTGCCACAAGGTCTGGGCATCCATCAGCTTCCTCCGGGCTCTTTGGATCTAGATGTTGACATATCCCTAGTGACAGTTTTTTTCAGTAGCTCCGTGTTGATAATGAAATCCTAATGGGTCTGACTCAAAGTTCAGAACTGACTGGAAGATGATAAAGGCAACACTCATCTTGGAAAACTTTTGAACTGAAACTCTGACTTATGGAAGTGTGTTGTCATTTGAAAAAAGGAGGATCAAGTGGATAAGGAAAGATCTAAGTGTGATATTAATAGTGGTGGATAGAGGTATTTTGTATCCAATTCTTGTCAAAATCCACTGGCCACATTCAGAATAACTGTAAAAAAGAATAATATATATTCTTCTAAGTGCAGGGAAGAATTTTAGGAAATCTTAAGACTTTGAAGAAACAGATCTTGGAAAGAGTGAAAGATCTCTTGCGGCATCTTTCTCCAAGGCTAGTAGTAATGGAAGAGGAAAGTCTGACATACACTTTTACAAATGAAACAACAGGACATCTTTGAGGAGAGCTAATAGATAATCTTAATTGTTTTGACTTATTGTTCTTCTGATATGAAAGGGATAGCAGGGAACAATATCTAATTTTTTGTAGAGCCTAATACTGTTTTACCTTTTCTTAAAAAAAAATTACTTTCCTACATCTCGCTACATAGAAATTGTAAAAAAGCCTGAAAAAATACGTGTAAAGACAATAAAGAAGCCAATAATATGAAAAAGCACACTAGAGCTGTAATAATGATTGTTAAATGCTTCAAATAGCTGCAGCAGTTGATTGGGTTGTGAATGATACATGTGAAAAATAATTCCTCTATGATCATAGGCAGATGCAAAAGTTAAATGATTATACTATGTATATATATTGATATAGAATTGCTATATATATTGTGTACTGTATGTTCTAGCTTTCAGAAATACTGTATTGTAGTGTACTGTACTTAACTAAGCAGATCTAAATAGCAACTTGTCATTTTCCACAAAGTCACTAGTACTGTTAACAAAAACCAAAAAGTCTATTTTCTCCAGTAAAAGAAATACGTACTGTTACAGTCACAGACATTTTGACTATAGAGAGACAATGTACATTAAACCAAAGAAAAACCCCAAACCAAAATAAAAACCTCACCCCAAAATCAACCAGCCAAAATTGTTGCATTTATCGTCTTACTCAAAAGGGGAAGGGAAATGCCACCAATATAAGAAGAGGAATAACATTTACTCAACTTTGTATGAGAGAAAATGAAAGGAAAAAAATAAAATAAAATCATCAATTACCCTTTCTGTGACGAGGACAAAAGAACTCCAGAGTGAAAAGAATAAAAAGCTACTTCAGGGCCAACACGATACCAAAATAGGCAGCTGTAGCTAAACATACTGATTCATCCCGCTAACGAAATGAGAGCAAAATGAGTTCCAGAAATCCCTCAGTTCTCGTGGATTACATGCTGAATGCTCTCACCAACCAATGCCTTCTTCTCCTGACAACCTACCAGTCTTCTAGACACACTAAAGATGTTCCTGAAAGGATTTTGGCAAAGACCACGGGAGAGAAAGTTAATTGTTAGCGACTGCACATTCTGCCTACATTGTTTTTACTACTTGTAAAGATATTCATAGCCAACATATTGCAGAGTACATGAGGTGGGGAAAGAGCTGTTTGATGGGGCTCTGGATACAAGAGATTATTTTAGAGCCTGTACGTATCAATACACTGCGTTGCTAACTGTTTAATGACTTGGTAATTTTTTACTGTCCTTTTTGAGGGGAGCAAAGAGGCAAGTGGGATTACATTGTTTGCATTTGATTCCCCTGTCAGATGAACATGATGAAATTCAGTGGAAATGAGTGACTGAACTCGAGTATAGCTCGAAAGCTGCCAGTCCCCTGGCTGTCCCTTCTGCTGGTGAAGCCTGCTGAGCAGCACTGTTTTACGTATGTTGTGGCTGCAAGACCCTGCAGTGCTCTGAGAGGCACTCATAAAAACACACTGGACCAGGTCTGGGAGTCAAGTTTTCAATGAGGGCAAATGCTTTGTTTGGGCAAACGTTCAGTTAAGGGCATTTGGCCAACCAGGTGTGTTTGGTGTGTGTACACACATACTGCTAAAGTAATTTGCTACTGGTTCGTGCCAATGCTCCACAGTTCATGTTGTAACCCTTGTTTTATTTAAACCCTTCCCTGATCCATACCCAATTAGGAATCTGTAAAGCCAGAGCTAGCTAGCTAGCTACCTACACACGCACACACACACATGCGTACTCACATCTGTTGGCATGCACACACACACACACAGAGGCCATATAATTTATTTTCGTTTGAAGATCCCATAGATACCATCAGACTGTGCGACAAATGAGAACCGAAAAAAAGACTTCATGGGTGAGTGAGAAGAGAAAAGCTGTGATGTATTTCAGGGCACTTTTGTGACTGTAGTTCTCCTTCCTGAATGTGATGCTCCTCTCTAGTCAAACACAATATATTGGGGGTATTTTTAAGGGCCTTTATAAGTGCCAAAAAAGAACGTGGTAATATCCAGGTAGCAAAAAGGAGTGAAATGAAATAGGTGCCTAGTTATATGTACAGACCTCAGAAACATACCTGTCTGTTTTGTAGGAACAGGACATTGCAGAATCGGACAGCTGTGTATAACAGCAAGTATCTAACCAAGCTCTGCACTTTCCTCAAGTGATGAGTGTCTGCTGAACGTGGCAAAAATCACCAAGTCAAATGCACGAGGTGTGCAGTTCTGCCAGGAAAACACCTAAAGCAGTAAATGCATCGCTACCTTGGTACCAGTTTTTCCAGCATGGTGAGTCCCAGTGGGGGCCTTATGAAAGCATATGGGCTACCGCTGTACCTGAGCCCAACCTGACAGATTATTTACTAGAGATGCTTGGAGTGTAGTTGCATGACTGGATGTGAAACTTCACAAGGAGGACTTAAGTCTGCAATGTAGAGTGGAAACATGAATACACCTATGGGCTGCAATGGACAGTTCTCACAAATGATAGGATATATTGGTGCTTCTTTAGTTTTCTTCAAGTAAATCATAGGAAAACGACCAAAGTGCCTACATTGATTTCCAGTGATGTGCACACAATCCGAAAAGTGTCACTACAGATTGTACTGATAGAAATTAAGAACGGGATTTGTCAATGGAAAACAGCTTTTCATTGGGTTTCTCTCATGTGAATTCATTTCACTGGCATGGGTGAGGCTGGAGTCAGTAGTCAAATCACACAGCCTTACCCTCATAATATTAATTTGGTTTAGAAACAGGATTTATCCTTCAGTATTATACAGGGAGCTAATGCCAACCAACCCAATATAAAGGAGATCACTTTGGAAGAGGACCAAACCTGCAGCTGTAACAGAAGGTAAGAAACAGCTGAGAAGCAATGGAAGGAGACCCCAATGTGTCACTAACATTTCTTTACTCCTCCCCTACCCTCTCAAACAGGAAAACACAATATAAGGCATTTTGAACGAAGGGAATGTTTTAGATGAAACTTTGCTACAGATACAAAACATAAGTACACTCCATACTGCTCAGATGCATGTGTTTTAAGGCAGCAATTGTATCTGAGGCTGAAGTGTATTCATTTCCAAAAGATGTATTTCACTGCTTTTTGCCTTTTAAAAAATAGTTAGGGACAAATGTGTAAATTGGAGGGGTTAAAGTCCAAGTTAACAGAGTGTTTGGAAGACCTTCCTGGCCTGCTTACCTCAGTTACACTCCTTTTTTTTTATTTTTTTTTATTTCTTTTATTTTTTTTTCTCTCCCTATTTCAACTTACTTGCTGTAGAGGTCACAAGAGCGACTGACAGGCAAGCGTTTGTTATGCTAAATATTCCTGGGGGAAACATTAAGATTTTTCCTTGGGCATTTGTGCTTGTGCACAAAATCTCAGTTCACTGACTGCAGGGAAAGGAAATCTGTTAGTAAAGTAGACTTAATTCAGGCAGCGGAAACTGTGACCATGAGATACTATCAGAAGATTCATGTAACACTAGCAGAGTTCTGTGTGTCTTGAGTCAGTCTCTTGTTATTATTTTAGAAGTTTTTATAGATAATTCTAGGGGAAACAGGCATTTAAAAAAACATGACTAATTCTTCTCCTGATGTGACTTTTTTAGAATTTTGGTTAGGATTATTTGATTCCCTGTATTTTATAACAAACCTAGGAAAATCTTCATTGGAATTACCAATTGCAACACTTGCAACACAAGTGACTTAAAGCATATTACAGGTCCACTTTACTCTTTTACCTTATTTACAGTAGATGAGTCAACTCTGCTTCTCCTACACCTGGACTCTTGTAATGTCTGGGGATCAAGTAGTGCTTCTGAGGCTTAAGTGCAAAAAGAAACATGCACCATTCCTAAATAAATCATGGAAAAAATCTGTCTATATTTAACATTGTATTTTTTTCCCCACTGAAAATATAAATTTTAAACCAAAATTATTGAACAGTATCGTAGTAATGATAAACTTTAACTCAGAGTGGCTGCATGTCCAGGTATTCACAGACATACAGGGGAATAATTCTTTCATTCACCACAAATTTTGCACTTGTGTAACTTGTGTAACTCCACTGTTTTCATCTAAGTTACTCCTGATCTGTACTGAAGGAGGATCAGAAACAGAAACATTGAATGCGTAACATTTTCTCTGTTCCTAGAGGCACTGATCTAGTCGATTAGTTACCAGCATTGGGAATAATTAGGTGGATATATACTATTACTTAACACATCTTTTTTCTTATTTACATTTTTTTTCTCAGAAAAATGAAACAGATTCTCCTTTGCATTTTACAATAGGTCTATGAGAGCAAAGCATTTCTGTTTTGAGATAAATCATTTCTCTGTCAGTGTCACACTTGTGGATCCTATTTGTCTGTTCTGCACTAAGGAAAACATAACACAACTTTTTGCTTTGTCTGAACTAGAGTATATGCATATTCTTCAAACCATTTCATCTTATTTTTTCTCCAAATTTCCCACCTTGGCCATCTGTCTAAATACGGGGACTCATTTGCTCCTGCTGAGATGAACCGGATCACTCTAAAGGAAGTTAACTGAGACCTTACGTACTACTTCTGGCAGGACAAACAAGAAGGTTAACTGCAGTATAACTGACTTTGCATGGCCAGAGCAAGCCACTGATGGACACAAATTGAGCATCAGGCCACCTTATGATACTTAACTGTCTTATTATAAGGACATGTCATAGACATTTGGTCTCTACCCTCTGCAAGGCCTTCCCACCTGATTTTGTTTTTTTTTGTCCGGGGGACACTCAAATACTGGGAAGGGTTTTTCTTCCATTTATAAACTCTGGACTCCAGATTTAACATATTAGTTGTAGATTCTCTCCTAAGTCTTTTTGCAGCAGAGTTATGATCACTTAGGGGCTAAATCCTACAGATTGACAAGCCTCTTGGGATCTGAGGAGGCTCAAAACCTCTCAGAGCTGAGTTCTCATCACGTTACACCTCCTTCAGGAATTTTCACAGCCAGTGCACCAACAAATCTGGGAATGTGAAAAGTAGCTATTTAGCTTTAGGCAGACGAGACGCTGTTTCAGTTAGGCTACCTGCTGATTCATTTCTGTCAGGTTTATTTTGATAGCTCAGAGGAGCTGGATACTGAGTTGAAAGGGCTGGATTACCAAGGTCTAGTTTTCCTTGACAGAACAGTCACCAGGTACGAAATTGATATTATACTTCTTTTTGAGTAGCAAGTCATCTTGAGCAGTGAGAGCTGTAAGATTAGCTTCACATAAAACTGTCTAAAAGGTCACAGTCATAAGCATACTGGAGGTCTGGTTATGTCTGAAATGGTTTGGGTGCTTCTGGTTTTGGACTGGATTCAATGCTCCTGCAAAGAGTATGTTTTGGAAGACGGATGATCCCTATGGGATTTGTTTTCTTTACTAAGAAAGCCAAGACACACTAGTATAACACTAGATTTGTTCCTCCACCATGTTAATGATGCAGAATTAATCGAGTAGCTCAAGTCTCGCTGAAATCAGTCAGTTTGGGGTGAGTAAGAGTTGAGGAGGCTGATGGTATGTGGGTTATCTCAACTCTTCTTTGGATGAAAAAGAAATCAGAAGAAGAAAAATGGGTATCACTTGGCCTCTGATCTTAGAGCAAAGGGAAATCTTATTCTCTTAGAGAGTGAATTAAATTATACTTTTCCCTGTTACCTTACTGTGAATTTGGGCTGATTTTGAAAGTATCTGACAGCATGGGCCAGACATGGGCCTAGTGGGAGCAAGACAGTTGTTGAGAAAGTGTCCCCAGAGCAGCTCCTACGGAACAGCTCTATTTCCCTTACAAGAGACTAATACTACGTGTTTTATGAGAGGAGTGACCGGCTCAAAATGCTCATATAATAGTTTCTGAAGACTAGTGTACTCTCCTGCTACTTTCTCATTATGTACAAGTTGTACTTTCTGTGCCTCTGGAAAATATCTTGTAGGAGAACCTCATTCGAGCACATACACACGACACACACACACACAGACACACTTGCTTGCCGTTCTCTCCTTCCTGACCAGCAGACACTGACCTTGTGGTCCTGCATTCCTTGTGGATTCACATTTCCCAAAGAGAGGCAGACTGCAGGGGAATGGACAAGAGAAGACAAATTTTGGTCCTCTGATTTATACTTCCATGTAATACAAGAACAAGGGTGCTTCAATGAACAGCAACAAATTTAACCAGAAAATGAATCATTTCTACAAGGCTGTAATTAAATTGAGGAACTCACTTCCATAGGATAGCATTGGGGCCACCTAGCAATTAATAAGCTAGATCTCTGTAGGATAATGAGAATTATCTGCCACAATATATAATTTTTATATGGGATAAAAAGTTAAGGCCATCAATTATTATGTCTTCAGGTTATAAGCAGATACATATCTCATAGGGATTATAATAAATCTTCTCTCTTAGGCTTACTACTTTGTAATTATCCAACACGGGTCTTTAATCTTCCTCCCAATCATCTGTACCTTGCCACAGAGTCAGAGACCGAACACTGGGTGAGGTGGACCACAGGGCGGGTCTGCTCTGGCCATTCCTACATTTTCAATTGACTTCACCAGCCTCAGCAGCAGTAGGAGAAGGCACTTACCTCTCATTTAACCTAAGGCTTCCTAATTGCACTTTTGCCTTGTAGAGAGGCTTTGATTTGTATGCTTGAATCTGTGCCCCACTTAATGCCCTTTTCCATTGCCAAAGCAATATAAAGAGAGCTTTAGGGAAAGGGAGAATCGGGCTCAAGGAATGCAGGATATTGCATGCTCCAGCACAGGGATGTGTGGTACTGTCAACTCTTTCTCATCTACCTCATTTTACCTGGTATTTTGAAGGAAACCTTTCAAGCATACTGAGATGGATGCACTCAAACACTGTCGACAGCAGTTTGTAGATCATTGGGACTACCAGTGTCCTACAGGTATTCTTTCTAGTAAGGAATATAGTAGCAATGCATGAAGCTTGAAAATACCTGTAACATTCAGCTACTGTAGGTGTTTCCACATAGGAAATATATATTTCTACAGACAGGAGGAAGCCTTATTAAAGAGAATTTAATATTTTAAAAGATAAAGGGGACTATGTGTGAGCTCCTAAGTTCATAGAAGGGCACTTAAATATGGAAGTGATCAGATGAGCACTTTCAGCTACATTTACAAGCATGCTGCAAGTTGCTCCATGTTTTACAAAATCTAGTCGCTAATTTTTGAGCCTGGAAGTTTGATAAAATCAGGTTGTATTTCAGGCAGGTATTTGTGAAGACCTTGACCCAAACTGTCCAAGAGATTTAGAACACAATTTATATGCCTTAGCTTTACTTTAAGGAGTTTACTTTTTAATTGGCACCTTTCATTCATTCAAAACTGATTTTTAATTCACTTAAACACTAGTATTTGGATTTTGGTGGATGTAAACCCTGATTCTTATTTCCTGTGTACTGAAATCTCTTCTGGTATCAGAACCATATTCCAGAATATGCTACATTTTGACCGTGGTTGACCAAATTTAACAATGACAAATTAAACAGCTTTTCCCCAGACCTCAGATGGCAAATGAACAGCTACAAATTTTTAAGCTGGGTGAAATTCATTAATTCCTCATATGGGAGAACACCAAACTTTTCAACACTAAAGATCTCAGAAAAAAACTCCTTTTCCCCAGAGAAGCATCTTCCAATCCTTTTGTATAGCTTCACATTCCCCACTCTCCTCCCCATCCCTGTATTTTCTGTACAGATTTAGTGTTTCTTCGCACAGCAGATACCAGTTCTCCCTCTCTGTGTCTTAGGCTTAGTCTTTTCACTTCTTGGTTCACATGTCAGCATTTATTTTACCAGTGCAGTTATAAAAACAATATTTTTTAACTAGCTTGTGCTCCTCCTGTAGCCCAGCCAAACTAATGTAGATTCTTTGTGAAAATCCTTGAACTACCTGAAGAAACTGGTGACAAAAAAAGACATGACCACACAAAAGGCTCATTCATTCTGGCACTTGCCTCAAAGTCTCTTTACGTGTTCTAGTGCAAGTGAGAATCGGGCCTTGGACATTTAGGATCTGCTGAACAATACCTTGCAGGTTACAGAAAGATTCTGAGAGTGAAGTATCTGTTGGGATTTTTTTTGCCCATAGTAAATCAGCAATGGAACGGGCCTAGAAGGTAGCAACGAGGTTACCTGTGCTGAATCACAGACATCCGATACAGAAGCTGCAGGTGGAAAGAACACACAACGTTTTATGTGCAGACCTATCGAGTCAATATTTAGAAGGTTGTCCAGCATCAAAGAATGTCTCATGTGAAATGCTCAGTGTTCACAAGCAAAGTTCTGTAAACTTAAGAAAGCTTAATTTAAATATAGACACGAGTAAAAGCTAAACTAGCCTCTTTTTTTTTTTTTCTTTTTTTTTTTCTTTTTGCATATTTTTGTTAGGTGCTTCTTCTCTGCCTAAAAAATAAAGTCCAGAGTGCAGCTGGTGCAAATCCTAGCTATGGATTTCAAGCAAGACAAAGACAGTGTCAGACACTGATCCAACTGAACTAAGGACCCATGTACTTTGGGAGTTGGCTTTGGGGGAAAAATTCTCACACAGATACACAGAAGACAACTAGGGAGAACACCAGCCCAAACACAATAAAACAAAATACAGAACACCAACATGTATATGCAGATCAGGAATCAATCTGTCACACTGATCCTACATTCCTTGCATAGCTTTGCATATGCAGAGAATGCGGGATGTGGCCCTTCAGTTAGACGTTTTTGCAAATGAAGAAGGGAAGATTATTTGCAATGGTAACCTTTTAAGTTATTTTGGCATCAGCACAAATTACCGGGGGCAGGATCAGATTCCCACACAAATATGGAAGCTCTCTAGCGAGCAAGGCAGGGATGAGAGAACAATACAGCAGATTACTTCTTGTCCAGTGACCAAAAAGAAGGGAAATCCTAGTTATTACACACTTCCAAGACTTTCATTACATTTTCAAAAACGAAGAAAGAAAAGAAAAAGACTACAAACTCTATCAGCCTCAAAAACAAGGGAACGTTGCAAGAAGCTATCTTTCTCAAAAGGAACCTCCCTTCGGCAGAAATAAATTCTGAGATGGAACCAAAACCAGAAACAACAGAACCTTGGTAAGAGCCAAAAGAGAACCACGTAACTCAAAAAACAAAGTAGCAGTTCAACCCATACTGCAGGATGCACAAACTCTAGTAGATAATCCCACAGATGACTTCACAGAGCCCCTCATCGACCCAGGTAATTCTTGATTCCATTAGAAAAGAGAGAGAGAGTGAAAAAAATAATACTTGAAAAGAAAATTAAGAAACATCCTTCCTCTTTTTTTAAAATAAAAATCAAGATCATCTCCCCTCCCCCCCTCTATCTGGAAGCAGGTTAGCTAACCTTAACAGTCTCAATTTAAAATAAAATATATATTTATATATATATTCATATATATAATAAAAGAGAAGATATTAGTGGCAGTGTACGCAAAACAAAAAAGAAAACAAAGAAAAATTACTTTTAACAATCTCACTTTTTTTGTTTCTTTTTTTACACAAATACTGTTGTAAATATATTAAAAAAATCAGCATTCTATCTGGTAAACGTCACTTTTGCCCCTCTATAAAATTTTGAATTAAAAAAGTCCCAAGAACTCTTTTTTTAATTATTCCCCTCCCCACCCGCCCTCTATTCCTCTTTCTTCCACAAGAATAAATCCTGATGCTTTTTTTTTTTTTTTTTGCAAAGATTGTGGGAACTAACCCTTCTCTTGTACCTAGATCCATAGGTTGCAACCTCTGATATCTTTGATTTTCCTCTGTGTTTCTCTTTGCCTTCTGTGAAAGTCCCTCTTGATTGTGCTGAGGCCCTGGGCTCAGCGAAGACACTGAATAAATTACAAAAAGCCACCGTTGCTCGTTGTCTGAATCTTCTTGGTTTCTGCTGTAAGGTGGTGGTGGTATGGGAAAAGCAGCGGGGAGGGTGAGCCAGAGAGCGTGGGATGGAGCAGAATCCAGGTGAGGAACCTCTGATTCTTTTTTCCTCATCCTGCAGGGACTCCACACTATCCAAGCCACACTGCCTTGCACTCCCCTCAGCCCTTTCGTGTGTTTGTGGATGCATGTGTGTGTGAGAAAGCAGACACGTGGTGGAAACCAGCAGGGCCTTGTTTCCTCTGGTTGCTGCTCAACCAGAAGCAAAATATTCCACAGTTCTAACTGGATACTGTGAAGTCCAAAAGCGGTCAGCATTGTGAATTATGTCCATTGAAACACTGCGAGCGGTGTACTTATAACGACAGTAGGCCTTGTAGATTTTGTAATATATTTTGTTTTGTTTCTTTTCTTTTTCTTTTGTAGTGCTCTTCACAAGTGAGAAAAAAGAAATTGTTTTTTTTTTGTTTTTATTTTTTCTGTCTGTTTTTTGATTTTTTATGTTTTTTTTTTTTTGTTTGTGTTTTTTTTTGTGTTTTTTTGTTTTTGTTTTTGTAGTAAAGAAGGGTTGTATTTAGAGGCCAGTAGCTAGAGATCCAACCAGTGGAGCTCATGAAGCACTACCTGGCCTTAAGGCCACCATCCGAGGGAGGTTGGGAAAATTATTATTCACCCAGCCTCCGGAAATGTAATGTACCAGCAGGCAAAAAACAGTTCTTCATGTAGTACAAAAACAACAAAACGAAACGAACCCAAAAAAAAAGGAGGAAAATAAAGGTAAAAATGAAACAAAAATCATTTCTTAAATTCTAGTGCCATAGCTTTTTTTGTTGTTTCTATTTTTTTTTTGTTCATAACAAAGAGAGAGAGAGATTCTACTTATCCGTCTGACACATGCATCCTCATGTGGTCGTTGAAATGCTCGATTTGGTCAAACTTAGCTGGACAGACAGAGCAGACGTACGTGGTCCCCTCCGTGCAGGCCACCACCCCAGCGGGGACGGCCCTGGCGCCGGTGCCGGTGGCTCCAGGCGTGCCGTTGGTGGCACTGTGCAGAGCCACATGCCTCTCCAGCAGGGTCTTGTGGGAGAACTTCTTCTTGCAGATGTAGCACTCGTAGGACTTCTCCCCACGGTGGAGGCGCATGTGCACGTTAAGGGAGCTCTTCTGGGTGAAGCGCTTGTTGCAGATACTGCACTGGTACGCCCTCACGCCAGTGTGCGTCACCATGTGTTTGATTAAGTAATCCTTTAAAGAGAAGGAGCGCCAACAGATGCTGCATTGGTGGGGTTTCTCACCTGCCCGTTGCCAAAGACAGAGAGAGAGAGAGAGAAAGAGAGAAAGAAAAACAGACAAAAAAGAAAAAAAAAAGATAACAGAATTAAACCAGCTCTGTATGACTCTTTGCAATAAACTAATGATGAGTCTTTGGAGAGATGCTTTGGCTAAGAAGGTGTCGTTCTGTTAAAAACTGTTTTGGAACCCAAAACTTAGTCTGACCAGAGGTTTCACAGTGCTTTACTGTGGAGGCTGCAGGTATTCCCAGCTTACACACAGTGAAAAGCTGAGGTGATTTGCTCAAGCTCATGGAGCAGGCACTGACAAAAACAGGAGTTAAAAGGTGCTGGCATCTTCTACTCCCAGCTTCAATAGCTCAGCCTCTGCTGCCCCAGGCAGGGAGGAGGAATGCTGTGTTCCTGTCTTGTCCTCTTACTCCTTTCTAGCAAGATCTTCTTCAAGTTATTTTACCTTTCGGTGCTTCTGTCTCCCTACCCGTATGCAATAAAAACATGATCTACCAGACCGCTGACTTGTAACACACTCATTTTTGGTAAATTGCTTCAAATTTCTCAGAAGTGCTAGAGATTGCCAGGGGAATCCAACTCTTCACGATAGGTTTACATTTGCTGCCTCATTTTTGGTCAATTCTCTTAGCTGAATTATGGACAAGAGTAACTGAAAAGGGCACCTCAATATACAGGATTGCCCAGCCAGCACAATGGAAAGGGCAGCCTAACACATGAACATCCATGGTTACAGAGATGAAACTTAAATGACCTGACCACCAGATAAATAAAATTCCTAACCAGGTAAGCCAGAGATGTGAACTCCAATCATATCTGGACAAACTACAATCAGGCAGCATTAAAAAAGTATTTAGCTGAGCACATATAACTGATTTGTCCAGACTACTTGTAATTCCTCTGCGTGCTCAGAGTTCTGGGAGACAATGCCACAGCCATAGGCTCCATAGCATCAAGCAACATTTTCATGATACATAGTAGTTCATCATCCTCAAACCTGCTAGGGCGAGAGGAGAGTCTCCGTGAAACAATTAAAACGATCCTCGTGTTTCACCAAGTGGAAAACTATTTCCTTTGGTCATTCTGCCATCTCCTATCTAGCAGACATCCTCTTCTTTCACATCCTGCTTCCTCCTTTTTACAATCTGCTCAGGACTTTTATATCCTGAAGAGTCAATTTTCAGAGACGATCACATGCCTGTAGTAATGTGTCATTTAGTCTTTGCATAGTGAGATTAAAATATGCTACTTATACTCAATTTTAAAAGGAGATCATTAATATGGATTGGATGGGAAGGACTGATTTTTTTTTTTTAATCACCTCTAAGTCTTTCTTTTTATTTCACAGTTTGCACATATGATTGCAACATCTGTGGATGGATCCACATGCTGCACTTCCTTGCACCAATGATGAGTTTGTCCCAACTTGGTCAAAGACACTTGGTCAAAACCCATTAAGTCCTTACTTTCCTGCCTTTGCTGAGCATAGAGTGGTGAGTTTAGACAGGCCAATATACTTGACATGTGCTATCTGGAAAATGATGGTGTGTCAGCTATAATCATGTCAGATTAATTTACAAGAGACTGATTACATTTGCAACACTCATTTTTGCCTTAGGCAAGATATCTCCCAGAGTTTTTAAGAAGTTGGTCTCCTTTGCTCTAGACCCTGTTAAGACTATGCTATAAAAACACCCTAATTTTCTCCTGCACATATTTCTAAGATATGCTGTGTTTTGGCTTTTTCTAATTTTATCTTCTAAACCTTCCTGGGACTTCTTCTGTCCTAAGAATCTCAAAACTCTTAAGGTTTTCTTCTTTGAATGTGAATTTATATGCTTCCTTAGCGATCACTGTGTTGCCTTTTCCAACTGCAGATTTTTTAGTCCGTGATTCTTCATCTTGAAGCCAGGTGTTCGGTGAATTAGATGTGCATGTTCTTCCTTTTGGTTATTTCCTATTTGGTTGGTTTCAGCCAGCAATATGGGACAATTACTGAATATTGATCACAGTGTGATATGTAGGAGGAGGCAATGATGGCTTATAAGGTGCATGGTGACTGCATACATTCTAGCTCTGCGTTTCCACAACAGTGCATGTCTGAGAACACTGTAGGCTACATTAAAGCCATCCTGCATGGAACATGGCAAAACATCAGTCTCCAGCCTGTTTGCATCTATATGAAAGGAGAAAGGGAGGTAGGTTTGTGTCTACACTGCAGTGCTTTCATTGCATACAAAGCTGCATCATAGTATCATTCTTGGAAGTATAAAAACATAGAGAAATTGGGTGAACTTTAGCTTGTTGACTTCTGTTTTCTGATTAGACTATTCCATGGAGCCCTCCTGACAGCAAGACTAATTCAAACATGTGCATCTCCCAAATCTTTCCCCTTTTTCCTTGGATCCCTTCCAGAGCCACTTCACCTGGCTACTTTTAACAGGGCTGAGCAAAGTCACCCTGACAGTGGGCACAGCTGTCTGCACTCAGTTTTTTGAGTGTCCCCAGTGGACAAGGTAACAGTGGCATGCTTTCTTCAAGACTGTACCTACAAAGGTTATTTTCAGAAGGACTTTTTTGAAGCCCTGCCCCCTGTTGGTCAAGGCGCTATTCTTTTCCCAGATATTCCAGAAACCAGTTAGTTCCTAAATGAACTTGGAAATCATTTATCTACGCTATTCTTTCCTTGCCACTGGAAGTTCATTATTTTTGGCTTTCTTAGACACACTCAAACTAAATATGAATTCATGATTGGAAATGTCTGTCAATTTCCTTAGTTGACTATCCATAGCAGCTAGGTCTTTCTTTTTGGTTCCTTTTATCCAACTTTAAATACCAAATGTAGTATGCAGTTGAGGGTGGGGGAAGTAAAACACCTCTCAGTGAAATTATTTGTGAAAAAAACCTTTCTAGCTTTTAGAACAAGGATGCAGGCAGATATATTTTACTGTGTTTTTAATGGGATATTTCTCTGAAAAACGCAACACCATCTACACGGTATTTTAGCTACTCATCCACAGCAGAAGGATGGAAGACATAGACAAAGGGGTAGTCTTGGGATTCAGAATTCTTGATCCTTGCAATCATGTATTTTGTACCAGTCCTGAGGAGTGAACCTTTCTGTATATTATATGTATATGTGAATGTACAAGTGTGCCTTAGATTTCTAAAGGATTTTTAAATTTAAATGATAATTATACATAAACAGTAGTTAAAAGTTTACATACACACATGGAAGTTAAATTTATTTGATACAGTAGGGAGGCATGATTTACATTCCTCCCATACCTTAGGCAATTTCTCCAGGTTCTACTCCATATATCATAAACCCAGCATGTATTTTAAGACCTGATGTTAACAAAATGACTGCTTGGTGAGAGAAATATTTACACTTTCTCTAAACTAAAATTTCTCTCCAAAGTCAAAATGAGCTGAGGGCTAAAGCAAGCAAAATTTTGTCTTGAACCCAGAACAGCTTCTTCATTTTATATATATATGTATATATCCATGTTTTTAAGTCTTATAACTCAATAAAGCTAGAAAAGTCAGTTTTGGATTAGTAGCAAACATGGTTACCTATTTTGTCTCAAAAGATGATATACTAAAAAAAAGTTACATTTTTTTAGACAAAAAGGGTGCTGCTGTTGTGTTACAGTCATTATTTTAAATTTTTCTCTCATCAAGTCCTATGTTTCTGTAGCCACAGACAGCGAAACATCTGGCTTACCAACAGACAGGGTATTATAGCAATGAGCTTCGGTGAAGTACAGAAAAGCTTCCTGAAAAAAAACTCCAAATTTACTTCTTTATAGAAATATGTGAAATTTAGAAAATATGTGGCAGAGTGTGTGTAACACCCAGGCCTTGGACCTACTGCTGCAACTCCACGAGGAATGAGCTTGGGGACAACAAATGCTTACCATTTCCTTGTATGGAAGCAGGACACATTTCATTCCAAGCAAAAAGCGCTTGTTTCTGCACCATACACAGTTAGGCCCCTCTATGGGACCTGTGTGTGTCCACAGGGGCTCAACGTCAATGCAGTCAGCTTAGACAGTGTTCGGTGAGACCAGCTCTCTGGGCAGCCTCTCCCTCCTGCTTGGGGGCTGGCAGGTTGGGAGACAGAACTGAAGTCCTTGTTTGTAAAGGACCTTCCCTGGCTTCGTGTGTAAGCCAAAGGGACGTACTCTTACCTGTGTGTACAAACATGTGCTTGACGTAGTTCTGTTTGGCGGTGAAAGTCTTGTTACAGAGAGTGCACTCGTAAGGCTTTTTTTCGCCTTGCCCACCAGCTGTGCTGTGGCCCGCAGATGGGGCCAAGGGCTGAGGGGCTGGCAGCTGAGCAGTAAAGGTTGACAGGCCAGGCTGGGACACTGTCACAAACTGTGTCTGTTGGCCAGCTATGGGCTGGGGCAGGCTGAAGAGAAAAGGCTTAGGGCCGCTGCCAGCAGACTGTGTGGTGAAAAGGGCAGGCAGGTAGGTGTTGCCAGCTGTGCCAATGACCTGAGTGTTGCTGGTCAGAGTCAGTGGCATCCTCAGATTGCTGGTGAGGGTTTCTGTCTGGCGTAAGTAGATCTGTGTGGTTGGCAATGGTTGGGCAACAGTTGTGTTGACAGAAGGCTGCAAAGCCCCCTTTTCGGTGCTGTTATTGACTGTGAGCACTTTGCTGTCCATTTCAACGTCATTGCTTCTCTCTGGTGAGGAAGAGTTGGCATCTACTTGCTGCTGCTGCTGCTGAGGCTGAGCGCCGTCAGCAGGGACGTCGTTTTGATCTGCTTGAGAAGGTTCTTGCTGCCCATCCCGGCCCAGACCAGCCATAAACTGCTGCTCCACGGAATCGGGCTCAGTGCCAATGGAGGAACTGACTCCCGAGTCAAAACTCTCCCCTTTGGGCTCACTCTCAGTGCCTTCTGCTTGGTCAGTGTCCTCAGTGCATTCCTCAGACTCGTTGCGCTCAAGGATCTGCACCCTCTGTTGGCCGTAGTAGTCATAGTCATCCTCCATCTCCTGCTTAATATGGATGTTGCCCATCAGGGTTTGAATTCGGACAGGGCGTGGTTGCTTGCGGCAGTGTGTGGTCTCTGGAGTGGTGGAGAGGTACCGCTCCATCTGTTGCGACCGTTCGTGGATCCGGGTAATCCAGCTGGGGTCTTCCATGTGATGGTCCCTGGGGAGCCCCAGGGCTGTTTCGTGGTGGCTGACCACAGCCCCACTGTAAAAGGAGCGCTCCCCACTGCCATTTTGCATGGAACAGGCATAGAGGGCCGAGTAGATCCTGTCCACACTGTGCTGCGAGTGGCTCTGCAGGTAGCCGGACTCTGTGTCGGTGCTCTGCCCCGAAGTGCCTGATTCGGGTGTTCCCCTGGGTGTCTCCTGGCCAGAATCCTGAATCACCGGGTAGACCTCTCCCACATTTTGCGAGACAATCCTTGTGCACTCATCAATCACAGTCTTGATCTGCAGGATGCTGGCAGCTGTGAGGATTTGGAGGGCCTCTGATTGCGAGACCCGCAGCACCCCACTGTACATGAAGTCAATGAGCTTTTGCACGGACTGGACTGACACCACCGAGGGGATCTCGATGTCGCTGTAGCCCAGCAGCAGCTTGTCCTGGAAGAAGGGGCTGCCAGCCGCCAGCACGCAGCGGTGGGCGCGTAGCATGCTCCCGTGGATGCGGACCGTCACGTCACAGAAGTGGCCACGGTTGCGCTGCTCGTTGAGGGTCTCGAGCACAGAATTGCTGAAGTTGTGAAGGTTGATGCTATGAATGCGCTCTGTCATCCCCTTGCAACTGATGTTACCTGTAGCAAAGCAGGTGACAAAAAAAAAAAGAAGAAAAGAACAGATTGGGTCTTGTCCTCTGCAGAGACATAGCCAGGACATTGGCAAAGGTGACTGCCCACTGGATAAAAAAAAAAACAGATTATACTGTAAAAATCACAAACAAAGGCACCAATAAGAAGACATTGCCTTTGTAAGGATAGAAGTAAACTTCTGCAATTCTTTTGCAGAAGCTCATGTTCTGAATTTTTTGGACAAAAGCAGATAAAAACAGGTGTAGCTGGCCTAAGTTTCAACCACATTCCTGGGCCTTGGACTTCCTATCAGATTATATGGCTTTAAAAAGCCTAGAGCCAGCCAACTGCAAACACTGAGCTGGATTTTAGGCTGTTTGGATGTGGACCTACTCCAAAAACGATCAGATTCTTACTTTAACGACCCTTTACTCCAAGTTGTTAATGCAAAGGGTCAATGTGAAAATGTGGTTTCTATCTAGATTGTCATTTTAAGGGATTTGGATCCTGGGTTTTATGCTACAGCTATTTGTACAAAAAGTTGGCAGTCACTTTGCAAAAATCCAAATCTGGTTCAAGATTTGGACTGTAAATGTTCCTAAAATCCCACGCAGAGTTTTGTCTGGGGCTGTGGTTTAGAACATTTGCTACCCAATAGTGACAAACAGTCCTCTATAAGAACCCAAAGCAAAAAGTTAACATGAGCTGTCCCCTTCATTTTTAGCATATCCCAAGTTCTGACTGGCACCAGAATGCCATCATATAAAAACAAATGTTCTCCTGCTGTTATTTACTTGACAGGAACTGGAAAATTACAGACCTTTACTCTAAGGAAGACTTTGTCTTAGGTTGGCTGAATGATATAAACAGAGAACAGTTTAGAAAAGCACCTAACTAATGGGTACAGAGCCAACATATCCTTCAAAATTAACTTTCACAAGTAACTTCTTAATCTCTCAATCCACTTTTCCCTATCTCTATCTTGCTGTCTTTGGTTGTAATGTTTCTTTTTTTTTTTTTTTTTTTTCTTTTTCCCCTACCTATCCTGTTCTTTACTCATTTTTCATCTGTTTTGCTTTTGATGGCAGAAACTACATTTTCATCTTTTAACTGTGAATAACCAACTGCCCTTTGAGTGGTAAACAAATGAAACACTATTAATAAATTATCTCTCTTAGCATTCATAGTACATCCATCACCTTGGCTCCCAGAAAACTACGCTTGGGAAAGTAATGAAAAATCACCCCTCATATTACGGGCATTTTGTCTTGAATATTCCTACCAAAGTTACAACCTCTTTTACACAACTGGTTGTTAGTGTGTGAGAATTTGAAAGTGAAATTTGGTAGAGAAGCATGAATAAATTAAACTAGCTTATTGTCACTGTCTGTTTTAACAGAAATATAGAGAGCAAATAAATAACACTGAAAATGGTTTCATATACATGGTTTTAACCCCAAAATGTCCCTCTGGTCCAGCCTAAAGGATGCTTCACATTTCATACTTAGGCAGTAAAACAAAGTGTACTGCAATTTGCAAGAAAATATGGAGTGCTCCCTCCTCTGCTTTTTCCTTCTCATTTATCCACTCCTGCACTCAAGCGCCTTTTATTTTGGTGCTTCAAACAGAAACCACCTTGGACACAGGCGGTCATTTCAATTCCATGAAGCTGATGATAATAAAAGGGAAGCATAAAGGTCAGGAACTGGAAATCCTGTTGGGGCCAAGCTGAGTGAAGAAAGCAGATGCTAATAGACGTGAACTAGCCAGTATCAGAAAGGTACTAATTTCCATGTGAGGTCAGAGCACTAGGGAGATGCTCAGATAGCAGTAACAAGGAGGAAACCACTAACAGTATCGTGGACGCTGTGAATTACATCTGTCTTGTTCATGAGCTTTGTTGGGAAACCTGAGCTTTTTCCTCTGATGAGACTGATCACAGAACTGGAAAAACATCTCAGCAATTAGGAGCCTTTCCTTCAAGAGCACTGTGATTACTATTATGAAAAATAATGTACAGAAGAGATCTATTTCCTCCTCCTTCCAGCCAGAATCATTCTCCAGAGGCTTCCAGGGTATATCTTTTTTTTTTTTTCTTTCCCAGCATGTCAGAGTACACAAGGATTCAAAATGTATTTAAAAAAATAGGAATCCTTGACTTGAAAGGAAGAGAGCTTGGCAAATTTTTTTTTGTTTGTGAGTACACAGAAAGGTGGAAGATTAATGATAAACACTTCTTTTCAAGACTTACAGTAGGCCATGGCAAGTGATTGCATAGCTCCCCATTTATCTGCATCTCCCTTTGAGTTCTGGCCTATCAGTATACTGGAAATCTTTCCATCAATAAGTATTGATCACTACTTGGTCTGACCCTATTGCTCCCTTTTCATGCAAATAGGTCTTTAAGATGTTCCCTTGAAAAGGGAATGGCATATAGTTTACGTTTGGTTTTGTCAAATGAGGCATTTCATAATAAGAGATATGCAGCAGTCTAATACAAAAAGCAGTCTAAACAAAAAATCACCCCTTGCGCATGCACAAGGTTGAACATGTTACAGACAGGTCTCTTGACTTGAGTTGGTGCAAGGAATCCTGACTTTGTTCATATGCATTTTTGCAGACAACAATAACTTTGTTGCCCAGGCTCTGAAAAATGCATCCTCTGACCCAGCTCCTTTTCAGAATGATTTGCATCCAAAGTCTGGGAAAGTAAATTTTGCAACCTGGTCACAGATCATGTACAGAAAGGAGGAAGGACAAGGTTCACCTCTAAGTTTCAGCATCCCTCCTCAGGTCCCAGCTGGAAGGAGTGAGAGTTGTGTATCCACAATACATTTGATCATTAGCTACTGATGAAAACAGCTAGAGTTGATCAAGGTGAAGAGGTCTGTGCATGTTCATGAGAGACTGGTGTGAACAGCTCTCCTATAGGAACTGATCTAGGATGCTAAATTCCTTGAGGTGTAGGGACTAAAATAAAAGTCACTTGAGCCACTTCACTGTAAGGCAAGGAGTACCTTTTGGTTGCTCCTAGTATAACAGTGCTTTCCCTTAAAGATCCTCTTCTTATTTCTTTACTGCTTCAAGTGAAATTGGAACATCAATCACCTCTTCAACTGATTAACAACTGAGATTCAACCTTAAGAACAAAACACGAGCAGTAGGTGGAAGAGACACATAAGAAATGGTAAAACAACTAATGCAGATTTTGAGGATGTTTTTTCCAGGCCACCTCCCTTGACTCTTAACACTGAAAACCAAACCTACTCAAAGTACAGGCAAGCAAATCACTTGCAGTAGTGTCAGGGATGCTACAAACCACAGCAGCATAAAAAAGCAGTAATTCAGTATAACAAATTCTAGAGATCGGTCTGTAGCAAAATTCACTGTCCCATGAATTCTTCCTCTCTGTAGGGAACTGTGTCCAGATCCAAGTTTTGCTCTTGCTCCTTACTGTACACTGCTGTAAGCAAATAGTCCCATAAAGGGGGACCCATGAAGGGGTGGACTTACCAACGCAGGCTTAACTCTAAAGTAAATGTGGCATTCTGACAGAGAATACTAGAGCCTTGGACAAGCCCCAGTGGCTGTCAGTTCTGCACAAGTTGCACACACACACATGCACACACACTCACCTACTCGCCGCACTGAATGCCTGGCTCAGGAAAAAGATTGCTGTCTCAGGCTCGTCTCAGACCTGCCACTCTTTTAAACTTGAGACAGTGGGAGATTTTCTGTGAAATTCCAGCGGGCTTTGTTAAGTGTCCTCCTACCCCCCTTCCCTTTTTTTTTGTCCAGTAAACACGACGTAGAGAACCCAATGGACTCATTCTGAGAAACTCCTGTAAAATGGTTTTGTCCCCTTTCTGTGAAGCAAGTTCTGATTGGTGGGACATTCACAAACCATATAGGAAAGAATGGGTTTGAAAATGCAAAGGCCATTCTTACCCAGATGGGCAATGAATAGGCATTTGGCCAGTATAAAAAAAAAAAAAAGAAAAAAAAAGTAAGAATAAAAAAAAGGAAAAGAAATTAAAAAACTGCACATTTGCAATCCTCCTGGGATGCAATTTGAAGCTGGCACGGCATAAAGGTGAAACATTTTACTGTGCAACTTTGAAAAAAGCTCCGTTTCCCCATATGCAAATGCAGCGATTAAACTGTCAGGCTATTCACAGAAACATGCATGGAATTCATCCTCAACTAGTAAGAAGTAGCACAACATGGATGGGAAAGGGAAAAACTTTTGTTGTGTAATACATGACTGAGTGCTTAGATTAGTGTTTCCCTGAATCTCATCCACCCCTCCTGCTGACTTTTATAGTAAGGGTATTCAAAGGAAGGCAGATTTTACCATGAGAATAACAGTGACAACCTCTCCAAGTACAGTACCAAAGGGGAAGGCAATGGCAGAAGGAAACAGCAGGCAGTGGAATCCTGGAAGATGCTATAGAAAATGTGGAAGTGCAGCCCTGAGATATATCAAGGACTGCCTGAAGGCAGATTTCTATTTGCCAAAGCTACAGCACATAGACCTACATAAAGCTAGAAAGGTATGGCTCATAAAAGTGATTTTTTTTTTTATGGCCAGAAACAGAGAGAATGATCCCAGCAAACACATGGTGTAGCAGAGCTACAAAGATGTATGGAATACTGCAGGTAATACACAAATGACTATGTTGTACATTTTAAAACATATTTAATAAGGGATTTTTTTTTTTTGTACAACCACTAGATGTCCCTTTCTGCAAAGCCAACGCTTGCTGCTTTAAAGCTCATAACCGAACGATATCACAGAATTTGATTTTCTCTAGTGTCCTTTAAAATCACAGTATCGCAAAGCTCATTGCACTGTAATGAATGACCATTTCTAGAAACAGTGATGAGGAAACCACCAAAGCTATTGTAACTCAGCAGTAGCTCAGTGCATGGCCTTTACCTGAAGCAAACTAACTCTGACGCTGGAATCCAGGCTGCTGTTACTGTGTAGTCTTTCACAGGAATAAATAGCAGAGTGAATCCCAAAGGCTCTGTCTTACTTTCATCCTTAGAGGGTAAAATGAATAATTGCCCACCAAATGAAAGGGTTGGTGGGGTTGTAGAAACATATATAGATTGAGTTTTGGACTCAATTTTTTCTTAAAAGCATTCAGAAAATTGTTAGGCAACGAATCTTGTCTAAGTATCAGTGAGAAGAACTACAACTATTTTGAAATTGCTGCTTACTTTGTCTTGTTCCTGACGAGCTTCTCAGGCCTTGCATTGAGAATACACAGTCTGAGACAGAAGAAAAGCTGGAGGCATTGAATCTCCTATAGAATATGTGCATCTGTAATTCAGTCATTAGCTTCTGGAAGCACCACAAACTGAAGTAACCTGCTGCTGGAGACCAGCATCATTATCTACTCCTTCCTCTAATCCTTGGTCTCCAAATCAAATGGTGGAGGATTACAGCCTCCTAGCCGAATCAAAAGGATGCACTAAGTTCTTCACACAGTCATCTAGTCTATTCCTCTTCCTTGTGGCGGAAACAATTTACTTACACTACTTCTTCAGCAACTCACCTAATGTTTGCAAAAACCACCAATGTGGAGGATTTCCACTCTCTCCCCAGACAGACTGCATACTATCTTTAAAGCGAGAAAGTTTTCCTAGTATTCAACTTTGAAACCAATTAATCATCCTTTCCTCCAGCAGACACAGAGAACTATTGACTATTTCCCTTTTTATAGTAGTCTCTTACATATTGGAAGGTGCCTCACATTTCTTTTTTAAGCCTATTTTTTCTAGAAAATCCAAACTCAGTTCTCTCAATCACACTCACTGGACTTACACGTATGTTCTCTTCTCATTCTTACTTCTTTCATAGTCTATCTAGCTTGTTCTTCTTTCTTTTAAAATGCAGTAGATAAAGTATGAAAGTAGGCAGAATACTTTAGCTGAGTGATGTGAATGAACGGTTGCCTGAGACATCTCATATACATACACTTTAAATACCTTAAGGAATAAATAAAACCAAGCAAATAAAGTTCTGTTATCAAAATTAAACGCTACAGATTTTCCTTAAGAAAGGCATGTCTCAGTGAAGAATCCTTGATTTAGGATGAAGAAATCTCAACTCCTGCATAAACATGCCAGTTCAGGGGAAATACAGCCTGTCCATCACAACATATGAAAACCCCACAATTTCCATAGGAAGTTTTCTCTTTTCCATGTATCAGCGTCCCAGCCTTAGCAATCATAACCATGGGTGCTTTCTTCGGTTCCAATGACCTGATTTATCCCTAGTGATGAAGTTTTTATGTTCTGTTCTTCTCAAATTAGTTACCCTAAAATAAAACTACATTAATAGAGTAAAAATATGTATCTAGTGTTTCCATAGACAAAATTAGTCCTGCATCAGGTTCCAACTCTTTGGGACCAAATTTATTGGAAGAACACTTTTTCCACTTAAGGAAGTGACTTGAATTTCAAATCCTGAAAAAAATGGCAGTGGCTGACTTCTTAGTATATATATTTCAATGATGCCAGAGGGGCCGATGTAGCCAATCCTTTTCAGACTGATTCTCCTGAATATTTGGCCTCATTCTGAAAAGGGACCTTCAGGGGAAAAGCTTGTGCAGAGTTTCAGGAACACAGGAAGAACATTTGTATCCTCAGCAGGAGATCTGACCAGGAGCAGCCCCTGCTTTCTGTTGCTTTAAAGGTTTGCTGGAATTTTCACCCAATCATCTGCTTGAACATCTTGAAAATCAGTATCTCCTTCTATAATATCTATCCAAAACAAACACCAGATGACACTACACGAATTGCCCTAACCCTACCAGATTGTTGTTAGAATCAAAATATGTAGCAGTCTACATTTAACAGGAAGTACTGTATTTTTACCAGCACAACATCTATTAATGTGTCAGTAATATACTCTATGGAAGAAAAAATCACTGTGTTCTGAAAGCTGTCAAACTTCTCTAAATTTCATAGTCTAATAACTACGTTTATTTGAAAGACAGAAATGCATGCACACGCAAGCACAACCTTATTCTCCGAGGAGCAAACATATTGAGTAGATGGCTAATAAGAAGGAGTTTGTTTAAACTTTGCTCAAAAGACAGGCTTTTTCTGCAGACTAAGCCATGTGCAGCAAGTTTCCTGTGGACGATTTATTTAGCTAATTGACCTATCCCTTTTTAGCACCTACCTAATGATGAGATACCTATTTTACATAAAACTGGAGACAAAACCATAGGTGTCCAGTACATAAAATTGCTTCTATATCCAGTGGACATAAATCCCAAACGTCAAGTGTAAAAGCCTCTATTTCGGTCTCCGTGCTTGGCAGTGAATCACCTCCCTGTGCTTTGCCTGGAAGTCTTCAGGAGGAGTCCATCAGCAGTAATCCCATTTACTGCAGGACCTGCAGGGCAGCAATGTCTGTGCCTCAGTTTGCTTCACATGTAAAAGAGGGGCAGCATCCCACACCTACCTCTGCCAAAGGACTGCCAGCCTTTGTTAATCTTTACACATTGTTCTTCAGACCTCCAGGTTTACCAAAATAAAGCTTTCTTCTCACACTACTCTAGTGCTTCGATTTCTTTACAACTCTTCTGTGGTGAACATCCTACTTAAAACTGCAAAACACCAGGTAAAAACTAGCTTCAAGTCATAGTATTCTGGTGACCAAGGGCTTAGAAGTGTTATAGGACATTCACCTATTTTTATGTTAAAGAAATATTCAATTTTTTGACAGGTTACTTATTTTTCCTGCTTTCACACTAGTTTGTATTCTTGCTATTTTGGGAAGTCCAGAGATACTTCAGAGAAAAGAATGCTTTCAAAAGCCACTTTTATTCTCAGGCACATATTTGAGGTACAGTCCAACATACCTCCCTTGTGAATACTGGCATGCACTCTGTTTTACCCAATTCTCTGCTCCTCTCTCAACTTTCTTTTGCAGACCCTTCACTGTTATGGCCATACCAATATATCCCTGTAGTGCAGACACAGCTTATATGGATGGAGGCTGCTTTTCCAACAGGGGTCTACTACACCTCCAAGCATACACTATGTTAACAGAAGAACCACCAAAGCTGTCATCGTAGCTGCATTACAGGGTATTTCACCAGGATGGCGAGGTCATTATATGGGTGTTAATTCTTGTGCCCCGGCCAGCTGTAATCAGTTTACATTAGCAAAAATTGGGATCACCAAACTCTGAAAAGGATTGAAACCCAAACCCAAACTGAAACCCAAAAGTGAGAAAACTGCAACTGCCCTCTTGTAATAGGAAGCAGAGAAGGCCGTGTGGCCACATGATGGCACCATTTCCTAGGAAGAGAAACCAGGCTGTGCTCATCTCTTCCTCGTTATGGAACGTTTTAATATTCTAAAGGAAAACTGTTTCAACTGTGTTCGCTTGTTCCCAGAGAGCTCATGCACGATTATGCCAAGCCCCAGCATGGCCCAACTGTTTTAATTGGCTATAAGTTTAAGGCAGCTGGGCTCTTTAAAAACCTAGGTGCGTGCATCTATTGCTAGTTTTCCTCTATGGTGCCAGGTACTGTTACTCATAAGGCATGCTGAGGATTTGCAGCGAAAGAGTTACCAGCCAGGTAAGAGTTAAGATGGGCCAAAAATGCCCATGAAGTTACTGTGATAACACTCTCTATTTAAACAAAGGTTAGGGGGATGCTTCTTGGAAAAAAAGGATAAACTTTTAGAAAAATGGAAACAATCATGATGATGCATTTTGCTACTTTATGGTCCCGATTAAAAGCTTACTCTATTAATTAAGAAGACTTCCACCTGTTTCAAGGGCTTCTGTTTAAATCTTAATGGCATATTTCACATTGCAAACCTGCAGGAAAAGTGAACAGAGATTCCTCTTGGTCATCTCACTGTGTTGGATTGTATACATTCATGTCCTCTCAGAAATCTTGTTCAGGGAGGAGAAAGGGCTGGGATTGGGGGGTGGGAGCTGAGTGTGGAGGAGGAATGAATTAGAGGGATAATAGGTGCAAATACATTAAAATGTGTCGGCCAAAAGAAACAATTGCTATTCCATGAACTCTTCAGATTTGCCCTGTATTGTTAGGTTTTCCCCCAGGCAGAAAGACAAGGAGAAAAAGCTTATCAGTTTGAGTGTGGTTAAATACAGTAAGACTAAAAGCCTATGGGCTTTGGTTAAAAGGAAAATATAGATTAAAACCTCTTAAGATAATTACCTGTTTAGAAGATTTCTATTCAAGCTAGAATCCTCTAGGGGAGTGGTTGTAGCAGTCTGTTAGGAAAAGGGTGCAGTCAGAAATGGTTGGCTTTCATGGGAGAGCTGCAGTCTGTGGAAGAGCACTGCTTATACCCTACGTGTTTCCAGAGAAAGGTCTTTAGAAGTAGGAGATTTTGTTCTGGTCACAGAAGTAGTGGTTGATGGGAGTAAAAAGGAATGGATGAGAAGCTGTAAATGCCAGTCCACGGGACTGGGAAAAGAATTCTTTTCTCTCTTCCAGTGGCTGTGTCTCAGTTCTGGGTGGAGGAAAGCTATCACATGAAAATGCTAGATTTTATTTGGTTATTTTTTCCATTTATCTTTTTTACCTGTTAGTGAAAGGGTAATTGTTAACTAATACAACTGGGTACTTTGGTGAGTATCTCAACTTAGAAATACTGCGAGGCAGATATTCATACTGTGCTAGACTGTGGCTCCTTTATTTTGAGTTTAGGGGGTGAGTGTTCAGGCCTGCTTCTGATTCAGATTTAAATATCAGCAGTAAACAGTATAAGCTCACATCAGTGATGCTGATGGCCACAGGAAAAGTTTCTGTCCTCATTGAGACCTCTTCAGTTCCTGGCAGCATGCATATTCCAAACCCACCTGCTTAGTTTTGATATGAAAAACATAGGACAGAATGCTCTAAACTAACAAATGACAGTACTAACCAAGAACATAGCATTCATGGAAGACTTGATATCATGAGATGGATCTGTAGCATTAAATGCACATTGCTGCTTCCTACACTTTTTTTTTCTTTTTTTTTTTTTCTCTGCAGGGAAAAGGCCCAGGAATTGCATGTATATGCATGCATACAGGTGATACAAACAGGTGATACTACTGTAGTACTTAAGAGTTATTTCACAGGTGTGCCTTCAGGCACATTCTACCCTTTGCTCAGCCAAAAGACATTAGTGATAACATCTGGGAGTTTTGCTTTTGAATACAGGGAGGGCTATGCCCTGTTTTGAAGCACTACATAGGATCAAAGCACAAGGTGCTTTTTGTTAAAGTTGACATGGTTGCACACACAGGCATGAATCTGTGGGGAGAAGTCCCTTGCTCTGTTTTTATTTCCTCTATCATACCCCTTTTCACACAAAAATTGCTACTTTGTGTTTTTTTTTTCTCAATCTGTGTAACATCAATAAATTACACGTTATCACTCCTATCATCTAGTTATAAAGAGCCTTTCAAGATTTTTAATAGATACACAATATTGCTACACTTACATTTTCACTGGTAAGAACTCCAAAATAGCTGTTGTGAGATTACTCTTAATTTATACTACTTCTCTCTTGTGGGTTTTCAAGAAGAAGCATTTCACCACATGCCACAGATTGATACGGAGCATGTATTGAGCATCCCAACCGGGCAGAGATCCTTTCAGTGTTTAATACAACAAAACTGGGATGAGTAGGGGTTCTAGGATTTGTTTATTTTTTATTTTTCTTTCCATAGGCACAGTTAATTCCTCTAGGAGCTATTTGTGCTGACAGATTAACTAGAGATCTTGAATTCTCTTTATATTCCAGTTCCTGAGTGGTGGAGACATAAATCTAGATCTCATGTTATTTTAGCCTTCTAAATGACTCCATGGACAATGAAAAAAGCATAGAAGGCATAAATAAAAAGATGGTGCAATGGCATTCTCTTTAGAAACAATCACACTTGGTGTACTTTGGAACCCAAACGCACAAGGCCAGCAAGACCACATTGTCGTGTTTCATTGTACACCAGGCTGCCAAGACAAATGCCATGAGAGAAATGAAGGAGCTTAGCAGGAGTTCACTCCCTAGTTATCTTAATAGACATTAGTAGGTGGTATTAAACAGTATCTTGCTTAATGTTTCAGGTTCTCTCCCAGTACCATGTTAAGACTTCACCACGTAAGCTGAGATGAAAAAGCTCCAGCACTAAACAGATCAGTGATGAAAAGGAACAGAAGGTGACCAAGTCTATTTTTGCATCTGTAACTTTGGAGTTGCATAGTTGCAACAAACCAGGTAATTAATGCCCCACTCAGTGCTTCCCAAAGCATGGAAGGTGTCTCCTTATAGCATGCAAAGAACCACCCAAGAGAGATGTAAGCACTGAGGTATGCAGGGTATTAATAACACACAGCAAGACAAAAGAAGATATAGATGTAGCTGTTTTAACTTTCTTCAAGGAAGAGTCACCTGTCAAGCATATGAACATCTTTTGTGTTTGACTCTGCTACAAAAAGCATCCTTCTGTAGACCATAGCAGGGAAATGGTACATTTGGCTTAGGACTGAGGAGACAAGAGCAGTTGCAGGCATGCTTAAAACATGAAATAGAAATGATCAACATGATTATGCTTCATATCCTTTGAGCAGATTATATAAAAAGGTACTATGGGCATGTGCAACTTCAGGAGGGAGAATTAGCAGAAAAAAAAAAAAAACACAACACAAAAACAAAACCCCAAAACAAGAGGAAATTAGTCAGAAAGAGTCTGAAAGGAAAAGATAAGGAATTAAAATCTATAAGATCAGCAGGGAGGTGGCCTTAATAATACTTTATTAGAATCCATATCTAAGGACAACAACAACAACAAAAATAAGGAAGAAGAGAAACACTACAATGGTTAAATAACAAGGTATAAGAGTCCAGCAAAGCTGAAAATGTATCCTTCCAAACACAGAAATCATGCCCAAGTAACACTAGTAGAACAGAGCATAAACTGTGGCATGCTCGATGGAAAACAAAGATTAGGCAGGATGAAGAGGAAATGTAAGGAAAAAAACAGCTAAAAGTATAAAGACTGATATCGTAATAAAATAGTCTTTAAATGTATCAGACAAAGAAAGCATACAGGGCAATGATTGGTACCTAAGAAGAGCATTAGATTACGTGGACTGATAGATTAAATAGGCAAGAAGCAGATTCAGTAGGTTAGCTAGACTAGGGATCTATGAAAGCAATAAAGGTAATCCAAGAAGTTACAGAAATTATCCAGCGGAATTTGCATTTTTTTCCTTTAATTTTCAGAATGGAGGATGATGGGAGAAGGAAAGCTACCTCAAGGAGGTGAGGAAGAAAGCACTGTCCTGGAGATTGTTACTGAAAAAAAAACAACAAAACTAAACTAAAACAAAGAGAAAAAAAAATCCAGACCAACCAACCTACCAGAAACCCCAATGAAAGAATATTAAAATGTCGTAACAAACAGTGATAAACACTTCTGAATTGTATAGTATTCATTATTCACTCTTTTCATGAGTGAAATAGTTGAAACACTCATGCAATACATAAAGGAAGGATTTATAGAAGACTCAAAACTTGAAGAATGGCAATGAAAATCAGTGGGGGCAGACTCTGAAGACATGAACAGGTAAACTCAGAAACACACCACATATGTTTTACTTGACAGTTGCAGTATGTCTCAGTGGCTGCAGCATGAGTTAGAAATGGAAATACCATGGTATTATCAACCTGATCACCTCACAATCTTAAGAATGGAAACTATGGAATTTTAAAGAGTAATACACTTCTTTTCCTCTTCCCTGAAATTTAGAAATAATAGACATGCTGGGGACATATCTTCAGGCTCTTCCCTGAAATCATGAAAGCTGGAAGCTTGCATGGTGTTTTCAAACCATAGCTGAAATTATGCGTGTTATCACTTATAGTATAGTGGTGACCACTAAGAAAAGCCCTGAATACCACAAGCCAGTATTACAGTGTCATCAAATAAGAGAATCAGCATTTAAGATAATTAGACAAATTTTAAAAAGCCTGTATGTGACTTATACATGTGATTTATGCATCAGTAAAAGTTAGGCTCCAAAGTCACTCAGTTGCTTCTAAAAACATACTCACTGACTTCATAACTGAAGTACCATATGTTATTAGTCATTTCTCATGAGAAGAAAAGCCCGAGAGACCAACCTGACAAAACTCACTTAGTGTACTGATTAGGAATACAGAGACCAGTTCCTATCAGTAGGACAACATTATACAGCACCACTTCTTCAGTGGATTGTGACAGCTCTTTCAAGAGAGGCAGGGCAAGCTCAGCTTATAGTTTTACATACCTTTACTTGTACTTACTTCTGGCTGCAAACAATTCAAACAACATACATCTCCTTCAATGAAAACACAAGTCATTCCTGCCTGATGCTTCTTTGATAATAATACAAACAGAAGTAAAAACCTACAGGATGCAGAAAACACCTATGACTTGAAAAGCAAAGTGTTTACTAAGCACAATTCTGCATGTTCTGCAAGATAAATGTATAGCTACCTCTTGTGAGATCAGTATTTGAGAACTATGGATGTCCTTGCTTTCAGCTTAGCTTCCTTCAGAAAAGGCTCACATCATTATTATATTGTCTACAATAGGTTATCTAAACATACATCCTTTCTTAGGTCACCAAAAACAACCTAAAAATACTCAGCTCTAGCTAACCAATAGATAACACTTAGATTAGCAAAAATACAGATGAAATGACAATTAATGTACTGCCTGCCACTGAAAACAAGGAAACTGGTAGAATCAGGGCTCTCCTTCTCCCCTCAGAGTAGAAATTGTTTCAAAGCTCCAGAGCAGTTCTTAGGGAATCATAATCACACATTTCCAGAGGCAAAGAGGGAAGACCATAAGGGCACATAACCATTCTCTTCCTGCCACAGAACCTCAAAGAGGAACACAGGAAACCTAAAACATAAAGATGAGGCCAAACCACCTTAGGATCCATCTAGTCTCTACATTAGCCATGGGCAAATCAAACCTGTTGATTCACGAGAAGGAAATGGACGATCCCTCTAGCTGCGCAAGAAAATTAAAAGCTGGAGTTTCACACCCACTCTCAATGCTCTGTGGAGTTTAGGAACCTCTTGAGGTTCCCTCTCTGCCTTTCCCCATTTTGCTGGAAGGCTAACAATCTACAAAAAGCAGAATTTAGAAAACGAAAACAGCCAGCCTCTAATTTCCCATCCTGTGAAAGTTAAAAACTCTGGAATTGGACCAAGTCAGCCACATCACTTGAGGATGTATGGACAAATAGTTCAGATCTAGTTCATTACCAAAAGTGCTTATAAAATGCATTGTATTTAATATATAAGAACTCTCTGGCCCCTTGTTAAAACATTACTTATAAAAGTCCTCCCCATCACAACAACTTGCCAATGATTATTTCATGGATTTTTCAAAAGTTATCCATGCCTCACTTTTCTTTGCAACTTTCATGCCCTATCACGTTCTGAGGTCTCTAAGAATTCTGTGTTCTTTAAAAATCACAACATTTGCTCCAGCAGTGTTTCCAATAATTGTCCAACCTGCCTCCCAGTCCCATGGAAACTCTTTGCTAAGATGTTACTTTTCCCTTGTCTGGAACAAATTCCTACACAGATGGACCATCCAACGTCTAAGAATAACTCTTTTAACTATCAATAGAGACAAAGAGATTCAGCTGCGCTTTTCCCATGGGATTCCTTTAAGTTTGGACACATCTGTTAAGATGCATACATCAGAGCCTGAATGAAGTTTTTGTCTGATTGTATCTCTTAGCACTTGTGGAAGTTTCTGCCAAAATTATCTTATCTCTTGGCACTTGCAAAAATATATACTGATATATGCTTTCTAAAGGCCTCCTGAAATAAGTGGCCTATACAGACCAAATCAGTTTAAATAGAGAGCAAAGTCCTGATGACTTCCTTTCCTCCTAGCAAAATCTTTAGAAGCTTTACCTGAGGGAGTTCAGCCTTCAAATCTACTACCAACTTTATGCGTCCTCTGTCCCTAAACAAAAAAGTGTGTGGAAAGTTGCAAACAGCACCAATCTCACATACTTTACTTGGCTTCTCTGTAACCTTTCCAGAACCTGTGCCTCCATACTCGGCTTTGTAGTTTTTTGCACAAACACCTTTCTTCTGAGTAAGCAGCTACATCTGTTTGTGACAGCTGAGTAGCTAGAGGTGTTTGGAGCTCTATCAACTCACTCTATGATTTAATTCCAAATTAATTCAAAGTGGTGCTTTCTATTTGCCAAGCCCTACATGAAAACAGTTACCTCAGGAAGCACCTCTTTCTCTAACCTCTTTCTCCAATTGCATGGCATGAGCTCGCATTTTCCAAGACTGAAAAAGATGAGACCTGGATACAATGTGTCCTAAGTTCTGGATTTTGTTTCAAAGATAAACCTGCACTGGAAATACATCATAATGTTCAAAACCAAAGTCCTAGAACAGTCAGAAGCAATTCAGTTTCATTGTGAATAAGCAGCACCAGAAGCAGCAGGTAGAATATACTACATTAAGCCCTAAATTAAGTTGTATGTCACATATGACTTCACTCAGATGTTTTTTTTCCCCCCACTAGGTACTCATTTCAGTAAGACTGGCATTCAGACTATTGCTTAGGCTTTCTTCACCTCTGCCTTTTACGGGCGAGAAGCAGATGGCTATCATGGAGCTTTTATTTCCTATGCTTGGAAAAAGTATTTTGATGTGAATCATTCCAAAAGCACCCTGATTTTTTAAAGTAAATTGGCTTATGAATATTTCTCATAATAAATATGTGGTGGTGTTTTCTGCCAAGCACTAGTGATTGTGCATGCAAAATGGTCAGTGAAGATTTCAAACTGATTTGAATAGGTGGCCCATAAAATCCAAGTCTTTTTTCCAGATACATGAATGAGGGCTTATGGAGCCATCTGTACATCAGTACATTTTTCCAAGAATGGAAATACCCTCCATGCTAACTCTTTCAGGGTGTTTCTAATATTTTGCATGAGACAATTCCTCTCAAACTTCCTGCCTAATCCTAGTTTCTAAATAGAGTATTTATCACCCTACCCCACCAGAATGAAAAATGCCCTCTTGAGAATGAAATATAATCTGCCCAGTCACAAGGGTAGAGGCTGCATGGTGGTCTGGGCAAGGGAGGAGAAGCAATCCTGTGGTGTTTAGAAGGTAGGGAGAAGGACAGGAGGTGATGCTGGTCCAAAGAAGGAAGACATCATCACAGGTCCAAAAGCTGAGGGCAAAAAAGAGATGTGGAAACATAGTTCTGAGAGGAGGGGAAGAGAAGGGCAAAGGAAGGGGCTCTACTGTGAGGGGAAAGGCAGGGGAGGACAGAGGTAAGGAGAAAGAGTTTATAATGACGGGGAAGCACATTTTTAAATGTTGGGAGCTACAAATACTCATCTCTTGGGTCAATTAATGTGTTCTAGCAGAAGGAATTGAGGCAATATTTAAAAAAAAAAAAACAAAAAACACAAATATGTAATGTGGTAGATAGCTGTAGTAAATATGCAGACATAAATTCATCATGCCTTATTTTGTCTTCGTGTGAGAAACTGGCATTGCTATTTTGCAAGAGCGTGCCAAACACTAATTATATGCATACTGCCCCAAACAAATACAGCCTGATGAAGGTTATAACCCAGCATAAATAATGGAGGTTTTTCCATTGGTTTTAAAGCACAAGGAATCAACTAACAGAGATCAACACCACAAGAGGCTTTATCATTTCTTGAATTTTTGCAGGACTCTAACTGTATTTGGTGAACTAAATTTCAACATCTACTGAAATAGGAGAGTATTAATGTTGAAAATATTATTAAACTTATTTTCTGAAAAACCAACTTCCATGTGAAAGGAGCATCTATTCTGGGTTTTAAGTTTTTCATTCATATTGGTACTGTGAATTTAGTAGGAGTGAAGGTGATTTGGGGACATTAAAACCTTTGGGGTGTAAAAGACTGTCCACAGAACAGGTAGAGCATGAAAAGCTGTAGGCTCCACCTCCCCATGGTGCCCTTTGCCAATATTCCTCACCCCTGAACTTGGCCACCTCAGAAAGCAAAAGCAGGAGGTCATTCTCTGAGTTCCCTACAATCCCTGCTGGCCTCTGTCCTAAGGTTGCTTTCATGGGTTTCTATTTGTACTGTCAAAAAACATCAGTGTGAGGTTTCAAATCCCATTTACTAATGAACTCTTTCATCTTTGTGAATGGGATAAAGAGATTCTTTGTTTGAAAATAAGGATTATTTTTTTCTTGTTGTTCTGCTCATTTTTGCATCTTTTCACAAGCTTTTTGTTTTCAGAAAACATTACAAGACAAAACTGTACCCCGGTTTTAACAAAGAGTTTGACATCTCCAATTTGAAGAGAATTCTTACATACACTAAATAGCATGCTGCCTGCTGCTCAATTGTTTCACGTCTCTTTCTTCTCCCCAAATCACCAGGTGAGATTTAGGAAAGTCTCCCCAATGTTTTTATCAGCTCTATTAAAACCAAGATCTCTAGAAGAAGCTCATAATGAATACAGTCAGAAGCCAGCAGGAATGAATTGCAGCTAAAGTGATTTTGATAGTGATGAGCCCTATAACCCAGCTGCTTCCAAGTTTGGCCCTGAGGCAGGATTTTTAAATTAAGAAAAGAAAAGAATATACATACTTTTTAATATGATTTTTTTTTATTGTCATGCCCTGATTTTTTTTATAGGCCTTTGCAAAGTCTGGTTGGCTTCTGAGCTCTTGAAACCTGGCATCATCATCTTTCTTCCTCCTTTTTTCCCCTTTGTAAGTTTACAACATCCTAAAACCACCACAAAAGAGGTAAGCTATATTTTATACAACTAGTGAATGATGAGATTGACATCACCCTCTGTGTTCCTATCCAAGAGACTTTCAGGCAGGGACCAGTATGAAATGATGTCGTTTTGAAGACTTGACAGGGTAAGTGCTGACTTTTTAAAGCATAGTTTTAATCATTTCTCATTCTCTCTCCTTTTTTTTTTCTTTTTTTTTTTTTTTTTGGGGGGGGGGGGTTGAAAATTTTGCATGTCCTTATGTCCTTTAAAAGTTAATGTCCTTTAAAAATTAACCCATGCTGAGTAATCTGAAAGTGAATGCACTGAAAATAAGGGTCTTAGGCTGCTACAAGCACACAAGTTTACAAATATCTTCCAGAGCCCTCACATGCTGTATATGAACCTCTCCACAGAAGCACTTTTCCCTGTCTTGGTGGAAATCCTTTACAAGCCAGAATGTTAGAGCCAGACACTTGTTTTCTCCCACTGGAAAACAGTACAGGCTGAAACTCCCTGCCAGTAGATATGCTTGGGTAATGAGAAGCATATGACTACCTGAAGAGGAGTAACTACAGTTCTAGTTTGAAGCAGACACGCTCAGAGGGTTTTCCCTTTTTACTTCATAAGAAGTAGGAACAGCCAACATGCTCTCATCTTCCCCCGGCTGGCTGCATTATTGTGACCCTAATGCAAAACACTGTTTTAGGGGTAATTTCCAAAAAAGGGAAAAGGTAAACCCCGAGGAAGTCATGCTTGTGCCATTATGGAAAGATCATCCAACTGGCTGGAAAGCCTGTTCTGCAGTAAGGAACATCTTTTCAAGAACCCTGGTGCAACCCAGCAGTGCGTTGGTGTACTCACAATCAGATGACCCTGTGTGTGCGTGCAGGTTTGTTGGTGAATGTGGTGCGTGGATGAGGGCCGGGCTCAGAGACGGAACAGCTTCAAGGTTCAGGCAGGGAAGGCCCGGCTTGGCGCTGCATGCACCCGTCTGAGTAATCTCATTCTCCTCAGACGCCTTCTGGTTTTCAGCTGTCTTGGGTTTCTTCCTGAAAATAAACAAAGAGACCTTTGAAGGGACTGACTGCATATTTGGGAAAAGGCATTTTTAGAATCTGTTAAAGATAACTTTCTTTCCCCCCCCCCTCACCCTCCCTCTCTCCTCTCTTTTCCCTTACAGGGAGGGAGGCAGAGAAGACTCTCCTCCATGCTTCTTGTTTGGAAACAAGCTGCTCCTTGTTTTGACTCTGATGCAATGGCCCTGAGACTGTATTACAGCAAACAGGCCAAGAACGAAGCTCCTCATTCTGCCCCTACTGATGACATATAAAATGAAACTAGTCCCAGTGGTTTAGACAGTCGAAGCTCCATTTGACAAATATTAACTAAGGCTGCAGCATTCTGAACAGAAAGTTATACAGGAATGCAATAGATTTGTCTGAAAAGCAAAAAATATGCAAGTTTCCAGTTCAACACAAATCAGGGCAAAGACTCATAGAGAAAAGCAGTGAAGTAATTTTGATATGCAGAGGTCATCTAAGTAAAGCACTAGGATTTGGAGCCTGAAACAACAGAGAACATGCACAATGCATGCGAATCCTCAATGCCTCTGCCTACCCAGAACCTTGTGGCATTTTGTATACACAAGGGATTAAAACAAGTAGTGATTACTCATTACACAAATGGGGAAACCAAGGCACAGAGAAGAGACTTGATGGACTTTGACTCATACAGCAGGTCCTCTGTACAGGCAGGCAAGAACCTGGATCTCCTCTTTGCTTCTTTTCTATTTTAGACTTGAAAGCCACACTTCTGATGCTCCCTCGAGGCAGGCAGCTGCCGGGGGGACCTTGAGCCACAGCCTCTACCAGGGGACACCACTGCCCTGGCCTAGGATGGGGACAACAGCACCCAGATAAACATTTGGCACAGGGTGCTGCTGGAGCCATGGTAGTGCAGCCCAGCATCCACCACTTTTTGTTTGGGTCCATGCTGGTGACAGAGCTCCTCTCGATGGAGATGGAGACAGGTCCTACGTGTGAAGGGACAAGCCAGCAGCCATTGCCAGCATGGGAAGGGCTCCTCACAGGGTGTGCGTCCACCTAGGACAGCTTGCAGGCGACACACTGAAAAACGTGATTTTTGAGACCTGGCAGGGCTTCTGGCTCAATTTTGAGACAACCCTGCCTTACAGGGACAACGTGGGGCAGCGGGACGCCCGCCGGGCCGAGCAGAGGCCCGGGCCGCTTACATAAAGGCGTTATATAAGGGCGGCACGCCCGGCCGGGGGCAGGGCCCGGCCCGCCGCCATTTCCTGGCGGTCGCCGTCGGGGGGCAGCAGCCGCCCAGGCCCGGCCCGGCTGCCGTGGCCTCGGAGGTGTCACCTCGGCCGCGACTGAAAGCTTCGGCGGGTGTGGGAGGGAGAAGAAGAAAACAAAAGTTACACGGGCCAAAAAGAAATAAAACAAGTCACGACGACCTTCCCCCTCCCGCCCCTTTCCTCCTCCTGCTCTCCCTCTTTCACTAACAACCCACACGGTGAAGAAAAAGCGGGGAGTTTTTAGTTTCCTAAAAAAAAAGGAAAAAAAGTGATGCACAACACCCCCTGCAGAGGCCAAAACTCCCCCAAATGCTCCTTCTTGTCCAGAAGGAGTGCTTTCAGGGTGTTGCAGGGGTGGTTTTCAAGGGAACCAAAGGTGATCGGTGGGCAACACTGCTCAGCCTGAGAGTGCTGGTAGCCCAGATGTGTTTCTTTTGGGTTATTGGGGTTAAAAATCCCCACAGCAGACACACTGAGGCATGGACTGAGGGCACAGCCTGCTGCTTTCTCCACATATATAATCAATATGCTCAAAATAAGCCAGGCCAAAGTCTAATCGGATTTAAATTAAAACAAATAGGAGATGACAAAATGGACCTTACTTAAAGTTGTAAAGGTATAGGTAAGGGCTGAACCAATGAACTCTATATTAAACAGAAGGAAAAATCAAAGTATTTAAAAACATATTTTTCCTGAAGAGTAAACAGAGCATCTCATCACCACAAGCTCTGGCATCCCTCAGTCTGTTCCCCATCCTGTCACCACGATCCGATCCACGTCTTGCTGCATAGATGAGGATACATGAGATGTATAGCTTGCACGTGAGCATGTATAATTTAAAGTGCACAGACTGCATATGTTTTGTTCATAGCAGTCTGTGGAGCTCCTTGGCATACTAACTCTGGTAACTCCCATTGTATGCCCTCACACGTCGCATGTCCTGACCCCATGACTTTTCCATGTGCACCCAGCACGTGCAGGATACTGCAGTGTGTATAAATCAGTGCTTTTTTTTACAGCATTGCTACCCAAGAAGCTTTCAAATAGCATGGCTTTTGTCCAGGCAGCAAACGATATACATAGTCAGTTAGACTCTGGTTGTGTCTAGAAGCTGAGCTCCCATATTTCAGCCCGAAGTTAGCTGAAGTTGAACACTCAGAGTATGGCCTCTGACTCTAGCTCTGTCCACACATAAAGCTGCTTCCCCTGGGCTGGACAGTACTGTTATTTGCAGGGTAGGGGCTCAGTCTGAGCAAGCATTGCCTGTTGGTTGCTAGCACATCCAGAGTGTTTTGTTAGACCAAGCACGGACCAAAGCTGAGCTTTACTTCATCATGGTCAGGCTGATCCTGTGTCTACCTCCCAAAACTCATTAGAGGAATAGGTTAGAAATACTTGAACTACAGGTAGTGACACCAATGAGGCTGTGCACACCATCCCCTGACTCTTCCTTTCCAAACCTGTGTATTTTCTACCTTGCTCTGCAGGCTGATGCTGTATTATTGAGATGCTCCTGCATCGTCACTTTTCCACATCAGCATCCTGCAGTGTGGAGACTTGTCCTCACCTGGATGGGAAGAGAAGCAGTGGTACTGACTGGCAGTAAAGGCAATACCTTTCCACAGCAGCTCTCCATTTCTCTTACACTGTTTGTACATGCCCTGTACCTCAGTACTACCTGAAATGAACACAAACTTCCACGTAAGGAAGTCTGAGGACGGGAAACAGCCTATGAAGAAACTCAAACGAGGTTCTTCTTTTCCAGTCTGCAACATCAGACCGCTGTTGTCAGTTACGGACAATGGGCCAAACCAGAAACATGCTCCTATTGCTCTAAGTATATTGCGATCTTTTGTTCTACTCTTTCTCCTATATAAAAACCTCCTATTGCTATGATCTCCACCTATATATTCTACTTAAATATTCACACATTCACGTACACAGTCTATGTATATTGCTATCTTATCGCTATATTCTTCACAAGGAGAGTTGTTAAGCGCTGGATCAGACTGACAAGACAGGTTGTAGCATCTCCATCCTTGGAGATTTTCAAAACTTAATTGAACAAGGCCCTGAGTAACCTGATCCAGCTTGGAAGTCAGCCCTGACCTGAGCAGGGAATTGGACTAGAGACCTCCAGAGGACCCTTCCAACCTAATTTCTTCTCTGATTGCATAGTTCTTCTATGAACACTTCCATCAGTGAGCTCTCTAATAAATCTCTATGTTCTAGAACATAAAATGGGACACTAACTGTGGACACTAACTGTGGAAGAATGGTCTTAGCTATTTCAAAGTAAAGAAAAAAGAGAGGAGAGGAGAGGAGAGGAGAGGAGAGGAGAGGAGAGGAGAGGAGAGGAGAGGAGAGGAGAGGAGAGGAGAGGAGAGGAGAGGAGAGGAGAGGAGAGGAGAGGAGAGGAGAGGAGAGGAGAGGAGAGGAGAGGAGAGGAGAGGAGAGGAGAGGAGGAGAGAGGAGAGGAGAGGAGAAGGGAAGCCAAGAAAAAGAAAGAAAGATCCAAACGAACCTACCTACAAGAAAAGAACCGACCAAACATAACCACAGAAAACCCCCGAACAGACCAGAACGCAACTAACAGACAAATCAGACCCGCACCGACATAACAAAAACCCACAGAAAAGACCCGAACAGAAAGCAGAAAAGAAAAGAAAAGAAAAGAAAAGAAAAGAAAAGGCACAGGGGTGAGAGTGAAAATGAAGCAAGTAATAAATATTGATTGTGGAGCCTTCCCAAAGTATAGCTACTTATGTACTATGCCTGGACTTCATTGATTGCAAACCTGGACTGATTATTTCAATTGTGGAGGTCAGTCTACCTTGTTACTGTAGTTCATGTGAGTAAGTTTTCCTCTACAGACTAATCCTGAAAAGAAGAAGTTTGCTATTATTGCTACAGTCAATAAAAGTTGCAAGATATTTGTAGAAGACTTGGGAATTTGCCCTTGGAGCAGCTGGGTCCAGTCTGATCCCCAGTTATCTCTCTGAGCTCCTTCTCCACACTCACTTGCACTGCATTACAAGCCCTTCCAAATACTGCACGCACTCTTGAAACTATCAGAGGACTATCTTCATCATCTTTGCTTCTTGTGAAGGTCAGCAGAAGGCCAATATAGCAAAGAGAAGGTACTTCTTTGTATGAACCTGATGGACAGACTCACAGAAGTTGGGGACAGAAAAAACACTGGCTTTTCCAAGCTAATCTGAGTCTTGAGGGTCACTACAGAATTCATACTTAGTACTGATTTAAAAGAAATTTATCCAGTTGAGTTCTAACCATCCTACTTACTCATCTTTTTTAAATGACGTGTCCTATGTGCAGTCATGTTTATTTGTTGGTATTCATTTTCAGCGTTCCTTTGTGTGTGTTGTGTTAATTCTCGTTATGTTCATTTACACCACTTAAAATACGTTCTCTTTCTTGACTGCACACTCTCCAATACCTAATATCAACCTAACTACATCCATTGTCATCCCTGAACAGAACTGTGTGTATTAGTGTAAAACAGAACCTACAATCTTGTAGGTCCTGCTCTTGTGTAAAACAGGACCTACAATCCCTACCAGCTTTCTCCTTCTTTTTCCTCAAACTCCTCTGTCACTATCTTCACTGCAGTGAGGCATTCCCTCCTTTCCATCTACCTCAACCCTACGGTATCACACGCTAAGGTCTCGTGTCTAACACACTAAGATGTGGACAATTCACAATATTGCAGCTACTCCAGTGATTGCACTGGACATAAAGTAGGATAGTCCCCTTTCTATTTAACTGGAAGGCAGAACAGGTAATATTTTGGATGTCCTAATGTTGAGAGCTATCTAGAAACTAATTCCTACCACTGAGCCTTTCAAACTCCTGCTACCTTTACCCTTTCTTGCTGCCACTAATGCATTTGGCCTTCCTGCCCCCAGTCCTCCACTTGCTCTCCACACATCATTTATTTGCATACATCTCCCCTGCAGCCAATGCTTGAGTTTGGAATGAATTTCCCCTTGATGGGTTAGCAAGTTCTTACAGCTGAACCCCCCCCAGATCAGGTCTCTGTCAAAACCAGGTGATGTATGTTGTTGAGCTTCCACTACTTTTCACAGGGCAGCTACCACAAATGCTTGAACACACCTTTAGGGAAGGAGCAGCTCTTTGTCCTGTGGAGAGAGCAGGTTAGCAACGAACAAACCAGCTCAGGTCTTAGGATCCTGTGTCGCTGCACAGAACCCACAGCAGTATCCTGGCTCTCAGGGGAAGCTATGATACTGTGACTGTACAAGAATAATACTACATAATGAACAATAATGAGGCAGTTTTCAGCCTCTGAATACAGGGAGGGCTGGGTCACCAACCAGACCTTTGTTCATCGCATACTAAGCAGCATGGAGGGAACATGCCACAGGGTTGCTGATGTTAGGAGTGCTGCTGCTGGTTGAGTTTGCCCATCCATGTTCCAGGTATTATTTCTCTTCCTAGCTGATACTGCATCACCTTCTAGTAATTGCCCTCTGGTTGCCTGTACTGCCCAAGCACTGTACTTAACTCACTAGTGAACAGTTTGTCTGTAACCTTAGTAACCCACACAGACTGTATATAATTAAAAAAAATGGCTTCTTGGACCCTAAAAATACAAGGGTGTGAAAACAATTCATGTCTGGTTTTAAGCAGTATTTTTTCCCAGTGCTGTGCTGCACATTCTTCCTCTGCCTGTATGCGACTAACACAGCTCCTGATAGCAGAGCTTATCACTGCCAGTGTTGTGTCTCTTCCAGACGTGACATTGACAATACATATTTAGAAACTGACAAAGTGAAAGAGAGAGATGAGTATAATCACTGAATAAAAAACAAAACAAAACAAAAAACCCACAAAACAAACCATGACAACAAACAAAACCAAACAAAACACAACAGCAAAAAGCACTTAAATCTGCTCAGAGCCCTCACCTCAAAATTCAGGGCACACTGAATTTTGGAGCCACAGGTGGAGCTTCCTGAGACAAGCTTGCTTTAAAAAAAAACCCTAAGCCATTCCAGTTTTCCTGCCAGAAGTGTTGCTTCAGTAGTAAGAAGTCCTGCACAGGCTGACTGCCTGAATATTCACACAGCTTCTCTGATGATTTTGCAGCCACATTGATCTTCATGCTGTTACAGCTACATGAGTGGCAGTTTGTTTAAAATCTCTGATTGCAAGTTTGTATCATACAATAGAAAACACAAACTCCTGAAAACATCGCCATAAAATGTAATATGAAAGAGAAATCCCAGCAGAATACTGCAGAACAAGAATGGGAGGCATGGAGAGCTGACAAGAGAGGCCCAATGTTCTTGTGCAATAAAAGCTTGGAAAATTTAATCAACGCAGAAAAGTAAAATAAACTCCAAAATCCCTTACAGGAGACTGATTAACATAATCAAGTTAAACTCAGAGATTAAGTTCAACTTAGACTGAAATTCGCTGGGTCTGTTTCAGACCTGAAATGGGGCTGATATGCCCCCAAATTTGTCCATTTTTTCCATCTAAACCACAAACCTCATAAAAGTTACTCCCTGCCTATGAAACCTGCCTCGCTTACAACCTCAGAGCATCTTGGCTACAGCAACACTGCCACAATACTGGCAAGAACTGAGAATTGATCATAAATCAAAACTATGAGATCTACGGGGAAAAAAAAGCGGTGCAAATAACACACAATTGATCGTTTCAGAGCATAATAGAACCACAATGCAAAGTCAAAATTGTCTTAGAATCTCAGGCAACTTTACCTATGTAATCCAGCCAAAATTTACCAAATTGTAATGGCCTAAAGTAACTTCTGTCCAAATTAGAGATGACTCGAGGCCTGGAAAGAACAGATTAAACCCTTAAGGACTTGCAGTAAATTCAATCTGCATTGCATGAAACACCAGCGAGAGGAAAGGTGTCTCATTAAAAAGTAATAAGAATAAAAAAGAAGATAAACACTCTGAAGACAAACATGGATGAATCGACTACAACAGCACGAACTAGAGCAGGGAGCAGGGAGAACCTGCCAAACGAAAAGACACAAGCACATCAAACCAGCCATGGCTGAACTACGCTGTGAGGCTACGACTTAAATATTTAACAGCTTTTTATTGACATATTTTTTTGCCCACATATTTCCTTGTAAGTTTCAAAAGCAAAACTTAGCTTACACTCATCAGTAATGCTCACAGGTGCTGCAGTTTGTTTTTGTTTTTTAAATATGTCCTTTTTTTTTTTTTTTGCTGAAACAAGCAGTCTTTTATAAGAGATAAAATATACTTACAGTGGTTTCCAAATGGTATCACTCTTCAGGTAAATTACTCCAAGCCTTGGACCTAGTGCAGACGTTCATTGGGGCAGGGAACAGAGAGAGGCTGTGTCTGTACCAGAAAGAACCAAAAGGAAAGGTCAGGGGGGAAATAATAATTATTTACCAAGAGCAAGAAAACTTGCTGCAATGCTAACTGGCATTCTCCACTGTCAGTACAGCTGGCTGGAGCCTGGTTCAATCTCCCCAGCCCCATCTGTAAATGACAACAGAATCGGTCCCGGAATCACAGAATCAAACTTTCTAGGTTGGAAGAGACCTCAAGATCATCGACTCCAACCTCTGACCGAACACTAACAGTCCCCACTAAACCATATCCCTAAGCTCTACATCTAAACGTCTTTTAAAGACTTCCAGGGATGGTGACTCCACCACCTCCCTGGGCAGCCTGTTCCAGTGTCTAACAACCCTTTCAGTAAAGAAGTTCTTCCTAAGATCCAACCTAAAACTCCCCTGGTGCAACTTAAGCCCATTCCCCCTCGTCCTGTCACCAGGCACGTGAGAGAACAGGCCAACCCCCACCTCGCTACAGCCTCCTTTAAGGTATCTGTAGAGAGCGATAAGGTCGCCCCTGAGCCTCCTCTTCTCCAGGCTGAACAAGCCCAGCTCCTTCAGCCGCTCCTCGTAGGACTTGTTCTTCAGGCCCCTCACCAGCTTTGTCGCCCTTCTCTGGACCCACTCAAGCACCTCGATGTCCTTCTTGTAGCGAGGGGCCCAAAACTGAACACAGTACTCGAGGTGCGGCCTCACCAGAGCCGAGTACAGGGGGACAATCACCTCCCTAGCCCTGCTGGTCACGCTGTTTCTGATACAAGCCAGGATGCCGTTGGCCTTCTTGGCACCTGAGCACACTGCTGGCTCATATTCAGCCGACTGTCCACCATCACTCCCAGGTCCTTCTCTGCCTGGCAGCTCTCCAACCATTCCTCTCCCAGCCTGTAGTTCTGCTTGGGGTTATTGCGCCCCAGGTGCAGGACCCGTGCAACCTATTCTGGTGAAGTTGGGACAGAGAGGATGAGCCAGCAAAAGGCTATCAGTAGGATTTATTCTGAGAAGTTGCTCACTCTGACGGCATGAGCACGGAGAAGTGATGGAGAGCTAGCACAAACTTGGCACCAAAATGCATCTCATCAGAACAACAAGGCTAGTCCTGTTCAGAGCAGCAACAAACACTTCCTTAGAACTAAAAGGCAGGAAAAGGAAGGAAAAAAAAAAAACAAACCAAAAAACCTCCTTCGCCTCTTTTGCTGTCTTTGCATCACAAAAATGACGGCTCACATCAAAGCAGAAACCCCACTTATCTCCCATCGGCCACCAGGTCGACTGCAGTGAGGCCAGTGAAACAGCTTATTGTCAGCCCTTCGGGAAAGAGGGAGCTCAGCAGCAGCTTTATGTATGAAACGTACCGAGCTCAAGAGGGAGTTGGGCTCAATGGACTGACACAGAAGTGGATCCAAAGAGAAACCTCAGCTCCAGTATTTATTAGAGGGTGATTTCACCACCCAGACCTAAGTTTTTGGGAGTATTTACATTTTTGGGGGACTTGAATCCTTCGCTAGACTAACAGAGCTCCTCCTTTGCTAACTTTGTATGATCTTTGGGTGGCTTGTTGTGGATGTTGGAAATGTGTCTGAAGTTAACATCCAGAGACAGAATTAAATCCTGCTTACTTCACTTATGCAAAGAACTCCTGGGACATCAGCATATTCAGTCCTACCCACAGTGAAGCCAATGGTGCTGTTTCCATGAATAAATAATTTTGCCTGCTCTGATCCGACAAGAAAAGCAAATATTTGCTTTATCAAAGAAATCAAGGAGGTGAACAAAAAATGATAAGAGATGTAATTGTTATTTCACAGGTAGTTAATGTCACTGTGCAAGTTGGAATTTATGTCTGTAAATGCAACACAATAAAGAAAACCCCACTGTTAGTGCAGCAGGAACACTGGAATGAGTGCCAGCAGACACAATGAAGGATTTTAGATGACATTGGAATAATGTGCTTCACAAAATATACATTCAGTTTTATGTTCAATTTACACATTTTGTAATGATGACGCTTACTGGAGACTGGGATATATGCTACATACTCATTTCAACAGGCTACACAAAATCTATCAACTGCACTTCACAGGGGCTCAAAAACCATCTTCTTTGAATCCAGTTTTTGTGGGCTCTGCCTTCTAGAGGCCTACTTTGAATTGCAGATTGTGAAAATTTAAATAGAAAAAAAAATCCTCAACTCAGCCTGAACCTCTGACTTTCACTGGAGTTTGGAGTGGAACCATATGCCAGCATCAGGTTAGCTCAAAAGAACTGCACAGAACAGTGACACCTTTGACCAGCGCGAAGGGTTGAATTTCAGAAGTGCAATAATGCCCAGCGATTCTGCAGATTGAAGTCCTTGCTAACACGCAGTGTGGCTTACTTTCAAACTCTCCTTTCCACTTCTGTGTGCGCCCCACCTATTCTGTTAATGCTGACCTCCCTTCTTTTATCCACTTTGAACACATCTGTCTTTTGTCTGGCTGTTCCTCGTCTTTTTCAGGCATTCATCCTGCATGCCTTGAAGAGTGCCCAGTACTTCAGTCGCCATGCATTTTTAACTTGTACCAGAAGCAGAAAATCACAGGATCGGGTCTTTAGTCTTTACTTCGGCAAAACTCCTGCTCACTTCACTCCTAATTTCACACAAGAGAAGTCTAAGAACTGAATGTACTAATCCTGCATATTTTGTCACCTCTCTCTTTGTGTGTGTCATTTATTGCTCTTCCAATCTCTGGGATTCCAATCCAAGTGGCTCTCTGTCATAGCGCTGCCTAGCACTCAATCTGGCTTCACATCAAAGGTCAGGGAAACAAGTTGTTAGAGATGGGCTGTTCAAAGTCTTCTACAAAATCTGTGCACTAAAACCCCCGTGGAAATCTGCGCTTAGAATATTTCCATTTTTCTCCATCTTTTTTGCTAGGGCTTTGGAAGATACATCTCTTTTCCTCCAGCGTGATGCATGTAAAGCACTGAGATCATCAACAGTTGGCAGGTAGGTTTTAAGTACAAAACGTCTACAAAGCTGGTGGTGCTTCAGAAGACACGCAGAGCACCACAGAGAAGGAAACACCCCAAAAATTCCTGAAAGTTTTTATCTAGCTAGACAAAAAAATAGAGGAAAATGAGTTTTTTGACCACGAGAAGAATGGGCAAAAATAGAGACATGCAGGACAGCAGGTGAATTTGATGTGTGGCACTGGGTTAAGTCACTTTTCCCCTATCTACCTGGGCTCCTCTATTGAGAAAAGGAAAACATTAACATCCCTGCTCCATGAGGTACTGTGTTCTTAATTAAGATCTTGGAGGATAAGCTTTCTGGATGAATGCATTCCAGAAATGCAGACTGCTATTACTTAAATATTCCCACTAACGATACTAACTCAGGCATTTTATATAACCTCACATTTATTCCACCTTGCTCTTCTCAAGCTTTATCTGGTAATTTAGAGGGTGTAAGAAACATTAATTGTATTACTGCTTTTATTAAGGAAGGTCCGTTTTATGATAGCAGTGATGTACTACAGATTTTGATTTAGGATGTACACTTCAGGTCAATTTCTATAGTGGCTTCAGTGGAGACACAGTGGGCATAAAGTCAGCAGAAAATGTGGTACTTTACATAATAATGCTGATGATTAATGGGCTCCCAAACCATAACTCCATATTCTGATGTACTGGCCCTCCTCCTCCTCCCTCCTGAAATTTGTGTCTTGACCCTTTCATCTCGTTTGCCACCTTTCCGGAGCCGTTCATTAATCAGCACCATTGATCTGATGCGGTCTGTCATATCCTATTACTTAAAACACACACAAGCAAGCATTGGCCTGACTCTGATCTTTACGCAACACACCGCCACAATATTTCCTTTATAGAAGGCTGAAATACTATAAACATCAATTTCCTGTTGGTGCTCAGTCCTGAAATTTGCTTTTTCTAAGTTTGTTCCCTGTGGGACGTTTCTGTCTCTGCCCCTAATTACACTTCTTTCTGCTCAGAGACATCACCGGACCCTTTCAGTATTCCCTCTTTGTTCGGGGCACCCACACGTTCGACCTGCAAGGCACAACCAGCAGAATAGCTCTTTCTCTTCGTGTATGAGCTTGAGACCTGGTACCACAGTTTTCTGTTACTTTCTTTTAGTGACTCCTGATCAAGGGGGCTCAATTTTTTTTAAGTTAATTGCTATTTATTTTATCCCTGCAATGCTTTTTCCCCCTCGTATCTTCAGAAGTCTGCTCCTTTCTGCCTTCTCTGTGATCCCTAGTAATGAAAAAATTAAAAGATGAGCTTTTTGTGAGCTTATTTCTGATTATTATTTGCTGCGCTGGCACAGCACAGTCTATCATGAGGCAATGGAAAATAAGAACTCGCTAGTGCCACAGAAGTAAGCACGTCTGATCTTAATCCACATATTGTACAGGTCTCTTGAGTAAGGTGGGGTCAGTTTTAAATGACGCTTTCACAATCACGGATATATTTTCAGACTCAGCTGTCTAGGTTAAATGCAATTCTTTTTTGTTCACTTTTTCTCTGCAGGAGTAGCATTTTGGGTGAAATTTTTAAAGCAGCACTGAGAAGGGAAAGATGAGAGCAGCGACGTTACCCATCAACAAATGTGACACGGGAGCCAGCTTCTTGCATGAAGTGGGTGATTCCAGATGCACTTTACTGTTTCCTTTTCAAAAGAAAGCACATCCTCTGACTAGGGCAGGCTGTGGCATTTATGTTAAGTGAACAAGGTTAGGACGTCGGCTACCTGCAGAGGTAGGTATCTGACCGCAATGTCTTGATCAGAGATCAAGATGCACTATTATATACACGACACCTTTCCATCAGAGACCAGAACTCATGCCATAGAAAACAGAAAAAATTACCAGCACAGGGCACATTATCAGAAGGCCACAGCATGAATTTTTCTCAACAGTCGGGCCTTCATCTGTGAGAAGAAACTGCTCATTTCTGTACTCTACTGGGAAAACCGTATGTCCACTATCTGTTAAGTGG